TCACTATGGAATAACTCCACATTGAAATTTTTTTAGAAACTACGGGTAACGTTGGTATTGTAAGGAAAAAACATAACACTCCTTTTTTGGGTAGTCGTGTAAAAAGTTTTTAAGCTACAGTAACTCTTTGCATCAGACAGATCACAAATCTCAATTTGTGATCTTTCTGATGCAAAGAGTTTCGATTTTATGAAGCTCAATTAATAACACCGAACAAATTAAGCACTACTACTTTGGCACCACTTAAATATAGGCACTTATTATATCTAGTTTCAAATTATTAATAACTTATTAATATCTCATCAAAAATTATATTAGTAACACAATACGAGCGGATACGACTATGCCTAATTACATTTTATGAATTGCCTTAAGCCAATAAATATCATCGTTACTGAGATGCGAGCTGATTTTGGCCAAGTTCTGTAAACAGTGAAGTTCTTCGCTCATTAAGAGCAAATTTATCTTGGAAGTCTCTTGCTGTAGGTACGTATTGAATTTTTCACTGTGTTTCTCTTAGCCAAATAGAGTTAGAAAATTCAGTTTAGTCTTAGTAGACATACCTATAGGAACAAAATGGATAAATGTTATAAGATATTTGGCACTCAGAATTAAAGTGACTTAATTATCTTGGGTAGATAGAATATATTTTTTTATAGATTTGTCATAGATATTGAAGCTAATTTTTGGAAACTTTATGTGCCTACTCTCGAATTTGAAATTACACTAAGTTCATAATCAATATATTCACCTTGTGGTTAACGGTAAATTCGAGTTAAATCACGGGTATTTAAATAAAATAAAATAAGCAAATCATAAGTACCTTACTCTATGGTTTGTTCTTAACATCACGGCGCTTTTTTTAAAACATAAACTAACAACCAACCTCTTTTCAAATAAGTTAAATAGCTACAGAGTTACAGATCCAAAAGCAGAATTTGAACAAATGAATATCTCACAAACAAAAGAGTAATTGTAGAATCATTGTTTCAAAAACGTACTTACCTAGAAAAGAAAACAATAATAGAAAAGAATGAAGAAATAAAATAATGTAGAATTAGGTAACTTGTGGATAGACCTCCATTTATATTTAGCGAAATGACCCCTATTAATCTTTTAATATTAAGAAGCGATCAGAGACCAAAATATTGATTGCTGCAAGTCTTACGATTCTGTGTTGCAATGGCTTAGCAAAGAAAGTCTGCGACCGTGAGATGACCTCCACTTCACGGATTAGAGACGGCTTTAAGCAAAAACACTTGTTTCTTTAATATAGTTTCAGTTACCTAACTAGTATTAAAAACTTTATCTATTATTACTCTACTATCTATAACTCTTTTACATGTAGTTTCTACTTGTTATATGTATGATTTTTTTTTAAGTTAACACACTGAAACCATACAATTAATAGAACATACAATACATAGGTACATTTGAAATTGAATTATTCTTGTACAGAAGAACATTGGTTATAAATAACAAATATGAAATTAAATCATTTTTACGAGTATGTCATTACCGATAAAAATATATTTTAGACTGCTATTGTACCTTTCTAAAACAATCAAAACATTACTAACAAAAACCTTTGTTGTTTTGTATTCTATTATCGACCCGCCCCGGTTTCGTACGGATGTATCACTAATAAATCTTAACTATGTAATGGATTTATTATACAAATAAAGCCTCCTTTTCAATCACCCTATCTATTAAAAAACCGCAAGAATCCGTTGCGTACTTTTATAGATTTAAGCATACATAGGGGCATAGGGACAGAGAAAGTAACTTTGTTATATACTAAGCCATGTGTTGAGGCTACTGTAATCCCAATCCCTCCCCCTCTCCAATCCTTTCCCAATCCTCAAACATCCTACACTCTTATCCCTAAAAGACCGGCAACGCACTCGTAACTCCTTTGGTGTTGCGGGTCTCCATGGACGGCGCTAATTGCTTACCATCAGGTAATCCTTCTGCTCATTTCCCGACCTATACCATAAACGATGTAGTGATTTCAAATCGAACAACTTTATGTAAATAGATTTATCGAAATTTATGTCTGTTAAGCAAATGAGCTAACAGTTTTTTCACAGTTACTAAAGTACATATATATTGGCAAGCATCATCGTAACTTGCGTTGTAAAACTTTACCACGTTGTAAACCAGAGGTGGTAAAACGACCACAAGTAATCACAGTTATTGCAAACCTTAAACCGTCACCGTAAATCATTATACTTAGGTATTCTTCTAAGCTTTAGAGCCGTTTAAGGTTACTTTAGTTACACCGCGGTCATAAATGGTATTTTGTAACAAATATATTCTGCAAATATTTTCTTACATATCATATCATAAAGGTATCATTACGGTGTGGCATCAGGTTATAGTTTGTTTAATTGTAGGTAGGTACATTTAATTTCCATTATAAATAATCTGGTTATTTTATAGTGTTATTTCTATTAGCACAATTAAGTGTTTGACATAATATGTTACGTTTTGGCAAGATTCAATACATAAAAGAGACTAGAAATTCAAAGACTAGAGGTAAATGTCATATGTATTATATCCGCCATTATTCTACATAAAATTAAAATAATATATTTATTAAAATATAATATAGTATGTGCACAGAACATCACTAAGCACTCGTGCTGAGGTCTAAACTTAAACATAAATTTTGTAATTTCATTTACTTTCATAATCCGTTACCATGGTACCAAACCTTTATTACCATTCCCATATAATTACTAAAAGACCTCAACTTTGCAACGTAATTTGATATTTAAGGCTAAATGTAGCAAAGTAAGTGATTTGCCAGAGAAACCTTAGATTAGCTTAACCGCAATTAGGTCTAGAGTGGTAAAATAAGCGTTAATACAAATTGAAAGACATTATACTCCATTCTTGTAATATTCTATACCACACTAAGTAGTAATAAACGTAGTGTTCTCATTTGTGTTACATTTTTGTGGTAATGATCTTATATGGCTTGTAAACCAGAATACTTGAAAGTGCAATGTTTTTTATTTCATTGGTCGGCAAACGAGCAGACGGATTACCTGATGGTAAGCAATCAGTGCCACCTATGGACATTTGTTATAACAAAGGAGTTACTACAAGTACGTTGCCGCTCTCTTGTAGGTGTTTAGGTATTCAAGGGTAGGGGATTTGAGGATTGAGGGGAAGTATTGGGCCTCCGGTAACCTCACGGCGAAACACAACGTAAATGTTGCGCTGCTGTGGTATCACTCCAGTCAAGCCAGCCCAATCGTGCCGAAGCATGGCTCTCCAACACTTAGCAATACACACAATTAGATTAACAATATCCATTCAACTACAAGATGGACAGACCATCTGATATAGTTAAGATCCAATTCATCTTACTGATCAGAAAATAATTGAGGTAGGCGTTTGTTAAGCACTAGTTAAAGTGTAGATAACTTATTGCATGATAATGATTCAGTTCAGCATCACACAAATATTGGATAGAAGATCTGAGTTTTAACTCAAAGAAAATTATATGCCTAATCAAAAAAATTAATAGTATAGGTAAATCATGAGCTTAAGTGTTAAATGTTAAAAATGTAACCCCATTGTGATGTCCATCAGTATTATTTGTTCCGGCGACCGTTGACGCCATTTGTATTTTCTTTGTGTTGTGTGGTAAAACTGTTTGTATATCCATTTTTCGCCTCAGGTCGTACCTTTTGCCTGCTCCAGGTAGAATACGAAGGAAAATATCTTGTTCAATTTAGTCATACTGTGCCTCATACATACATATTATTGTACCTCATTATCATCAGCCTGTTTCCGTCCACAGCTGGACATATGCCTCTCCAATTGCACACCATTGAGCTTGATGTTCATTCAACCCTTGACCCACCGATATCGCCAGTCCATCTAGCTGGAGGGCGCTCTACACCACGTTTGCCTAGACTTGGTCTCCACTCTAGAGCACGCATAGGTTCTTCTAAAAAATGTGGCATGCCCACTTCCACTTCAGTTTGGGCCATTTCGATAACTTTAGTTCTCTTTCGGATCACCTCGTTTCAAATTCGATCCTTCAGAGAAATTCCAAGCAAACCCCTTTCCATTGCTCGCTGCGCGACCTTAAATTGGTAAATCTGTTACACAGTCAGTATCCAGCTCCGTTGTCGGTCCGTTAATTATTACACCAATAACAACAAATAAGTATATAGTTAAACTAATAGTATACTAAATAATTCCTCTTTGTTATGAGTTAAGAATATATTATTAACTAATTAATTTTGCGTTTACTAACGTAATTGAAACGCAAAATGAAGCAGATGAAGCAATATATCTATTGTGTCCCACAATTTGTAATTAACTAATGAGTGTTATTATAAATGATCTTTTGTAGAATAATCATTAATAACCAGTTTTATTTGAATGCAAATGTATGTACAGTGATTATAAAATTGGGCCACATTGGCTGTTGGAAACTAGCTAAGTAATATCCAAAAGGGCTTGTTTTAATTCGTATCTAATGTTGAGTAAACTGTAATTTAAAGCAATTATATCATAAATTGGGTAAAGTTTAAGGATCTTGGAATTAGGTTTGATTATATTAAGGCGTGATAAGTCTTTGTACATTTTGATTTCACCTCTACCATGACTACCGTAGTCGGGTAATAAAAATAAGCTACGACACTGGAAGTGAAGGACCTTGTTCATTTTACACCAACGGTAAATGTTAACCTCAACAGGAATCGGTTATACTATTATAATGATAATCTGACGATTGTATGGGAATTATAATTATTAAAACTATTTAAAAGCCTTTTAATTCGTAAGCGACTTAACTTACCTAGCAAAAAAAAATGCCGTTTTTCCTATGTTATCTACCGGCCTTTGACCTAGTCGAAGAAACGCGCCGACTTCGCTTACAATACTCGTAAATGAGCCTCAGTTTTTATAACAGAATATTGTACCTAACTTATAGAATTATCATTGTAACCAACTAATCTCATATCTCTTTATTACAGATGGGTTGCAGATTGACAATCGTGGACGATGTCCTCAACAAATCCTTCTACAAACTCGGACTGGTCGTTGGGAGACAACCTGGCTACTTCATCATCATACCACTTCTCCTCACACTACTCATGATCACAGGCTACCAAAGAATCCATTATGAAATGGACCCAGAGTACCTATTCTCCCCCGTTAGTGGGCAAGGCAAATATGAGAGGCGAATTGTCGAAGAAAATTTCAAAGTCAACTATTCACATCGGTTTAATGTTGGAAGAATAACACGCGCAGGTTAGTTATAGCATTTCTATTGAATGTGGTCATTATTTATAAGCTAAAGACGTAAAGGTACGTTGCATTCGATGATCTAATCGTTTTACTATAGATTTATAATTATTCTTAGTGCTGCGTACTAGAAATCTATTAAAGGCCTTGGGATGTTACGGTTCTAATTATTTTGGTTTCTGACAAAACCAAAGTATTTTTAATTATTTTGTTTTCGGCTTACTCACGTAATAATCACACGCGACTCGGCGACTTTCGCGCTGCTACAGTCGCCGAGTCGCGTTTCGCGGAATGCTGCTCATAAATATGGGCCTCTAGCATGGCTTGAAACTAGTCGAGTATCTCGTCAAATTATTACGTGAGTAAGCCGAAATCATAATAATAAATTTAGAATGTCTCACGAAAGTTATAGGTAATAAAAACTAAGTATTTTTCTTGTTTTAGACTATTCTCGTTTTTTCCTGTAAGCGTCTTTAGACGATAAATCTCAAAAATATCAATATTTGCCAATTACATACTAAGCCAACGAATCACACAAGCTTTTGTTCTGTAAACTAAAGGAACGTGAGTTAATACAAGCAACCGGTCACATCAATCATTTTCGTTGACACGCTTTGAAACTAATTTCGGAGTATTTTAGACTTAGCAATTATTTGGCAAGCGAGACGTTGAACTCTTTTAAAACAATAGCATAGTACCTCCTGACGATTTGTCTAGCTACTAGTGCATTACTAAGAACTAAGAATCATGTGAGATCAACGTTCTTAAACTTTGAGGAAAGTAAGATTTGCGATTTTTTAGTTAGCACAGAGCGTAGTTTCACAACCAAAATCTCTAAAATCTCTTGTTTATTTGTTTTAATTTACGGTTTGAAGCATAATAGGCTCACTACCGTAAAGCAGTTCATTCCTTGGTGATGCTCCTACTTACAGAAAAGTCTTTCTATCTTTAAATACTCATATTCCATATCCCGACCCTTAACTAAGTACAACTAGTGTTGCCCAAATGCAAGAACAAGACGAGACTTAGCCAGTCTTGGTCTTGGTCTTGCGCCAATACACCTAGTCTTGGTCTTGGTCTTGGTCTTGGTCTTGCACTCCCAGTCTTGGTCTTGGTCTTGGTCTTGGTCTTGCACTCCCAGTCTTGGTCTTGGTCTTGGTCTTGCAGCAAGAGTCTTGCAAGTCTTGCAATTACCTATTAGTCTATTACTATTTATTAAAGTTTACTTTAAATCTTAGAAAAACGTATTAGAATTGGAACATTGTGAGCTTGAATTAACATAGCCATAGTAAAGATCAAGCAGATTAATAAATAACTGAAGATTTGATAAGGAATTCGAAAAATCAACTGACCTATATGTCGTTTTCCATGGAAGTAACTGTTTCTTAATAAACATTTATGATCTATAAGCTTACATTTGCTAAAACATGTAAAAAAACAAATTAATTAAAATAACTTGACTGTATTTTAAAGAACAATACTTATCTGTCTAGAAAGAGATTGAACCCTCAACTTATAAGAAATTTAATAAAAGAGTTTTACGATTTATCATTTATTTGAATAAAAAATAAAATACAACACAAATCAACAGCTTTATCATTAGGTTATGATACTTTATATCATTTTTTTTTGGCCAAGAATACAAAGTAACCATCTGGCTGACTCATCACTTAACCTATTTCTATGTTTTCAATTACTAATGATGCTTTAGAAAATAACCTCTCAGCAATTTCAAGTATATTTAAAAGTGGCTACATTACCTATTTATTAAACGGGTGATATTTGAACACTTTTTCGCTATTTTTTCTTGTAAAAACTGAAGAAATATAATGACTAAATGTACAATAATAGTACCTAAGTAATTAGTTTAAAACCATATAAGTAATCAATATTATAATATATACTTACTAGAATGAATTAATATGACATCTACTACCTATCCTTACCATTTTATCCTAATCATAATACTACTTGCGTGATCAGTATAATGAATTCATTTTCATTCTAAACACTCTGAACTTATTTATTCTTTGGAACACCTGTAGGTACTCTTAAAATTCGAAATTATTTTGCATGAGTATACCTACGCCCTATGGCGGCAATCAAATAGTGTGAAATGTTATGATTTCGGCGTGGCGGCAACGATTGTTTTAGATTTCATTTTCTTTGATACAGTTTTTTTGCGTCTCATAGAATTTCTAAGCGTACCTACCTGTACACCTAACTGCTCAGTGAAATAGCGCTAAGTCCTAGCTGCAAGACGCAAGTCTTGCAGGCTTGGTCTTGTTCTTGCTCAAGTCTTGCACGGTCAGTCTTGGTCTTGGTCTTGCTAAAAATACGCGGTCTTGTTCTTGGTCTTGGTCTTGCAAAAACGCAAGAACAAGACCAAGACTGCAAGACCAAGACTGAATTTGGGCAACACTAAGTACAACCCAACTTGAAAGTAAGGAATGACCCGCATCCGATTAACGAACTAGATCATATTTCACCAGAAACTATCAGAATGAATATTCTTAATTCCTTTATTACTTTTAGGACGCTTTGGAAGAGTAATAATCGTGGCGAAAGACAATAACACGAACATGTTGCGAACCGAAGTTTGGAAAGAGTTACGACAGCTAGACGAGCTCGTCCAAAATATGACGGTGACCATGCCTAATGGAGACACCTTCACTTACAAGGAAGAGTGCGCACGATGGGAAGGACAATGCTTCACCAACGACATTCTCAATTTGGACAAGATTATTGGCGAGGTAAGAGCAATGTAAACAGATTTAATACTTAGACAGTAGACAAAGGGTTAAAGTACGGTTACCAATTTTTTTTTAAAAAAAAGAACGTTGCCCCGCACTATGATTTTTTCCTATGTCGTATTGTATTTCACATATACATCACACCCAGACCCGGAACAACAATTTGTGGATCACACAAAACCAATAGGAATTTTATTAATCCTAAATAAACACTTGATTTAACGCTTTTAAAAATGTAAATGTTTATTTCATTATGGACGCTGTTTTGGCATTCAATATATGTACACTTAAACGCGATAAAACGTAGTCATGATTTCGGGCTTCAGTTTATAGAAATTGTAATAAGCCTGTCCGTACACGTTACCGTTTTCAATAACTTAAATTCATCAATATGCTTCCAGAACATCTCAGTTATATCATTCGTCTAAAATTGACAACAATCTCGGCAATGTGACCCGCTCCAAAGCCCGAGTCCTAATCGGATTCTAGAAAATTCTAAAGGTCATCATTTCATTTATACTGAACAGTTATTTTGATTAGTTAACAACGTGTTACTTGTACATGTACACCGGTGCTACATCCTAGCATAATCTTCTTTGATAGCTACAGATAGGTGACAAGGGTCAATTTATAAAAAAAATAATGAGAATTGGAAACGGAACGTAGGTTCTTGGACAAGAATGTTCAAAAATGTTTAGTTTATTTTTTATTTGTGACTTTCAAATGACTTCTCTCGGCCAGGGTATGGAATGTCAGACTCTTAGTGACTTAAAACCCTTCGTTCCTTCTCCTGCTCCAAGTTGAAGCCACATAACCATATTGTGTATGATCTGCGACACCGGGTAAGCATAGCCATATTGAGCCCCATCTGTGATGGTCTATTGGCTCTTTGAGGAACGCGCAGAATGCTACGCGCCGTACACTCGGTTCTGGTTCTAATTAACAGCGAGTCCTTCGGTTTTCTTCTGCGTCATACTTCTATCATATTTGTTTTTTAATCATAATCGCTTCTCATCAAGGATTACCTGATGTCTCACGTGTAGTTAGATATAATGGCGTAGCGTAGCATTGTTTAATGAATGCCTAACCTGCTCATCGTACAACTTATACTGTTATGGTAAAAGTTAAACAAACTATGTAATTGTGTCAAGTAAAAATAAAAACGGCGCTAATGACCTATATGCATACGTAAATATCAACATTATGCTTTCGATTTCTTTGAACTTTCTCTTCGAAAACGTTTCTTGAAACACAGGTGCGGATAATTGCACTACGCTTATATGTACTTACTATGTTTTAAATAATACAGACTGCAGTTCGATCTTAAATAATTAGCCGTAAAAACCAAGTTATACATGTAGCCCTTTTGTGATAAGATTTTCCTAGAACGGGTCTAGATTCAATACTGTTTGAAGCAATTTTGTACGACTCGATGAGACAACTTTTGCTCATAATTGTCATTCAGACGTTGACTAGTTCTTTGCAACTACTAATAAATGATAGGATGCAAGCATATCAGACCCTGCCTACCATAGAACACTGCTAGTAAGGTACCTAAGTACATATTTACTGAGGTATGGAAGCGACCAAGCAGGAAACAGTAGTGTTTATAGGCAGTTCTGTCACCAAAGAACATGACAAAACTGTCTCAGATACCTAAAAAAAAGTTCAGAAGCTAACAATGCGTAAATTGGTAGCGAGAAGGCTATTCGGTGGAATGTGGTATGTGCGAAATTTTATGTTTGTAAACGCATCCACAACATGAAAAAAAATAGCATAATGGGGCAACGTTTTATAAAATATATAAGATATTCAACAACAATACTAACAAATGTATTGTTTCACCTTGAAAAAAGGTAAAGCTAACTAAACATATATGTAAGGTTATCACACAATAATATAACGAAGTATTCATAGCAACTGCCGCATAAACCCATTTCGCGCAAATTCAATTTCACACTTTAATGGCAATGCGTTTCAATAAAACAATACATTGGCTACAAGCTGATACGCAGCTGAATAACATGGGTTTGACTTACCGAGTTAAGATAAAAAATATAATAAGTTATACAAAATAACACACAATATTGCAAATAGAAAATGAAATAGATAAACTGCTCTTACGCTACAGAAATATAATTAATACAATTCACATGAACGCGACGATTTCATTGAATTTCGAACAAACTAAATTGTTTTCGTGTTTAGAATACAAACGATTTAGATTAGAGTTAGACGAAAATCGAAAACAACATAGATACGAGGTATCTTCGAACAAGTAATAATCCTGGGTTTTTTGCCTGTCAAATACAATGCAATGTCACCAATGGCAGACCATGTCAATGACATTGGCGCTATCAGGAAATTCGCCTAAATATCATGGGTTTTTGACACCTGCTTTACATTCAATTCAATACCGAATCCACAGACTGAGTCAAGGCAAGCTAAGGTTCATTGAATCACTGCTTACAGAGAAAAACCAAACAACAATAGAGTACATAAATGTCTAACAGTTCCAATCATAGGTATTATGCACCTTTGACCGCAGACCACAAACCGAAGTACAAATGTTCACATTGTTTAACATAGCTAAAGATCGCCGACCCTCGAGTAAACACAAAAAGATATATAATTTTCTTACATGCAAATTCTGCTGTTATACTTTAAAATATTGCACTCACTGAAGACATGGTAAAAATCAACGGATTCTTAACCCAATTGCGCTTACGATAAAGGTAACCTTAACGAGTACTAAAGAAACGCAATTACTGTCTTGGTTTTATAAAGTAAACATCCACATTTATTATAACACTGCATCTTACATCATTGCATCATAATGTGCCTTTCCAAGCCATAAAACAAACAATGACAAACATCAACCAACGCAATTTTGTTACGGTATAATTTTCAGTTACTGCAATATTAGGCAAATACAAGCTTTAAGATTACACACATGGTTTTGAAGCAACATTCCTATTGTTATTTTAATAACAATATAAAATACCACAACTTATAACATCAACCTACGTACAATTAGTCGGTCACAAAGCATAACAATATTAACAATGTGTCATCCATCATTTATATTCTAAGCATCCTTCTCTAGAGATCTTGTGCCCACAAGGATTGGTCATGTCTCGTGTCGCAGTTAATGGAAATTCTTTGTACGTGTGATTAGGCGAATGTCATGCCTTTACAAAACATGACTGTCCTTTGAAGTACCTGGTAGGAGAACCTTTGCATTGAGAGAGTGGTAGGTACATTTTAACCTCCATTGCCTTCGCAGAGAATCGTTTAGCGCTTTTCCGGCGAACTGTTAAGGTCGAGAAGGTAAAGGAACTAAGTATACGTGGTCATAATCGCAAGCGCACGAAATTACATTTATCTTTTGGACTATAACTATTGACGGCCTTTTTTGTATAGACCTGTTTGGTTTCAAAGACACAACTCAAGACTTCCGTGGACATTAAAGCATACGTAACGATATTGAATGAATAGATGATTATTGCTTCTTTTATATTGAAGGAACGATTTGCGCTTTAGAGAACATAATTTCGGTTCACAGTAGGCCTTTATCACGTAGACATAAGTCGTTTGACTCATGATTTCTTCCTTGTCTTACAGGTAGAGCGAGGCGAACTAAACTTGACGTTTCCCATAATGTTCAATCCTGTGACATGGGAGGCCCATGCATTCCCAGTGTTCTTCGGAGGCTCCAAAGTAGTGGATGATATCATAGAATCAGTGCCGGCAGTACAGCTGGTTTGGTTTGTGAGAACTGATACTAAAGCACAATTGGAGGGAAGGTAAAAATATTTCTTTTAAAGTCTAAAATATTACGGCTTCTAAACAACTTCAATTATAAATTAACAGTCAGACTGAAGAATCGTGCGTAGATCAGTATTATCTTACATATAATGAAGGATATCCTTTATAAAATAACTAACACTAACTGTAAAGTAATTAGCATAGCCACGCATGCAATTTAAGGAAGAGATGATTGTAGCAGTCATTATATTTTGGAAGGAAACTATAAACGTTTCTATCGTTTCTTAATAATACTTATTATGCTCACTCTGCTTCATTTAGCTGCACTAGGACTTGTTTTGAATTTCAATAGCATTACAATTTGTTTAAATAAACAACGTTATAACTTAGATAATAGGCTTCGATCTTGACACGGTTTTTAAAAACTACTGCGTAATGTTGATCTAGAATGAGAATGGAAAGGTAGAGAGTTGAACAAATTGTGAGTCAACATTTCGTAAATGCTTCCATGTTAAAGGTTTAAACAAAATTAGTGTAATATTCTTTATTTGTTATTACAGAGGTGCAGCTTGGGAAGATGCTTTTCTGGACACAGTCGGTATAGCGGAAGACACCGGCCGCTTCAAACATATCTCCGTCGCTCGTTTTGCCTCTCGTACCCTCGACCACGAACTAGAAAAGAACACGAGAACCGTCATACCATTCTTCAGCTCCACTTTTATTCTAATGGGAATATTCTCTATAGTCACTTGCATGATGGGCGATTGGGTTCGCTCAAAACCATGGCTCGGTTTGCTGGGCAACATATCAGCCGTGATGGCAACTGCGGCAGCGTTTGGGTGCGCCATATATTTAGGCATTTCCTTCATTGGTATTAATCTCGCTGCGCCCTTCTTAATGATTGGTAAGTAACCAGGACCTCGTTTGTTTTACTCCATATTAGCATTATGATAAATTGCTTTGTTATTGCTTACTTAGACTCAGACATAACATTCGGTTTTATTACTGTACCTAGACATGTGATTTATTTGTCACGTGTTTTAACTTTTATGCACAATCGTAACTTACAATGGGTAACTACAGACGCCATTTTAACTACACGTCCTTTTCAGTCTTTAAATTTGTACTTCCAGGTATCGGGATTGATGATACATTTGTAATGTTGGCGGCGTGGAGACGAGCATCTCCGAAACTTCCAGTACCAGAACGGATGGCTATAATGCTGTCAGAGGCAGCTGTGTCTATCACCATAACCTCCGTTACGGATATGCTCTCGTTTTTCATTGGCATTTTCTCTCCATTCCCGTCGGTGCAAATATTCTGCATGTATTCAGGTTGGTGCGGTTAAATAGAATAGCTTTATATTGGGTACCTTGTGAAAAGTATTTTTCACTAAACTGAAGTTAAAATTTTAGTTGCAGTCATGTGTGGATATGTAAAACTTCTGTAAATAATTTATTAATATTTGATTGCAGGTCTCGCCGTTTGCTTCACATTTGTATGGCATCTAACATTCTTCGCTGGATGTGTAGCAATATCAGGCTACCGTGAAAAGCAAAATAGACACACGATAACTTGGATGAAAGTTCTGCCCGAATCAAGGGCCAGAAAAGGTAATACAACCATACTGATTAGGTACAATAGCAATTTATTTAAATTACTGTTAACTTGGCCTGTCATAAAAGCACACATAAAAAGCCCAGAACATTGAAGGCTAAATCCGCCCATTGTTAACAAAAATGTTTCTTTTCGTTTCAGAAGAAAAATCATGGTTATACAGAGCATTTTGCAGTGGAGGCATTGACGCCGCTGATCCTGACAATCCAATAGATAATAAGGAGCACTGTATCATGGCTTTCTTCCGCACAACCATGGCAGATTTACTGAACAACGGCTACGTAAAAACCCTAGTTATCGTGGTGTTCATCGCATATTTGGCGGGAGCAGGGTATGGAGTAACCAATCTCAAAGAAGGGCTAGAAAGAAGGAAATTGTCAAAAGTGGATTCATACTCTGTTGAGTTCTTTGATCGTGAAGATCTGTATTACAGAGAATTCCCTTATAGAATTCAGGTAAGAACTAGAGAACTACTTTGGCTTGCACATAATATTATAATTATATATTAACCTATTTTTATTATGTGATAGGTCGGCAAACGAGTAAACAGATGACTTGATAGTAAGCAATCAGCGCCTCCAACAACAACTGAATACTTAGTTACGAGTGCGTTGCCGTCCTTATGGGGATTTATTATTTGGAGAGTTTGGTATTAGGAGATGGGAAAGGATTGGGCCTCCGGTAACCTCACTCACGCGGCGAAACACAGCGCAGTGGTTGTTTCACGCCGGTTTTCTGTGAGGCCGTGGTATCACTTCGGTCGAGCCGACCCATTCGGCCGAAACATGGCTCTCCCACACTTACAACATGGGATAAAACTCCATTAGATACGCCTGTATTAACCAAAATAAATTTGCTTGCTCCTTTTCAGGTGGTTATTAGTGGCGAATACAATTATTCTGATCCAAAGATCCAGGATCAAGTGGAAGCCTTAACGAAGAGCTTGGAGAATACATCATACATATCAAATTCACTGTATACGGAGTCTTGGCTTCGAACATTCGTCGACTATGTATCGAGAAACAACGATTACTTGAACGTGACTATCGATAATGAGGACGAGTTCATTCAGAATCTCAAAGAAGTGAGTACAAAAGAATATGAATTACATATAAAACAGCATTAGGCACTGATCATAAAGTACTTTGTCTAAAAGATCGGCCACCTTGTCAACATTTTCCCTGTTTTACTTAGTACGTATTTTCTTTTCTTTCTAGTTATGGCTGTTCCCAGCAAACCCATTCTCTCTGGACGTAAGATTCAACGAGGCAGGAAACCGTATTATTGCTTCAAGGTTCCTAGTTCAAGCAGTAAATATCAGTGGCACTAACCACGAAAAGGAAATGGTGAAAGCATTAAGAGAAGTCGTTGCACAGTCTCCTTTGAACGCCTCTGTCTTCCATCCATATTTCGTATTCTTTGATCAGGTAGGTTAATGAGTTAACATGGAAGGTTATAATTTAAAAAATACTGTTTAAGTGCCTGAAATAACATATTCCTTTTTTTTTCAGTTTGAACTCGTGAGACCAACATCTCTCCAGAACCTAAGCTACGGAGCTCTCATGATGATGATCACGTCCTTTGTATTCATTCCCAATATCCTGTGTTCCTTGTGGGTAGCATTCAGTATCATATCCATAGAAATCGGTGTAGTAGGTTACATGGCCCTTTGGGATATAAATCTTGACTCCATATCAATGATTAACTTGATTATGTGCATTGGTTTCTCGGTTGATTTCACTGCTCATATCTGCTATGCGTACATGGCATCTAAAGCAAAGTCCCCAGATGACAAAGTCAGCGAATGTCTCTATTCCCTCGGATTGCCAATAATTCAGGGCTCTTTCAGTACAATTCTCGGTGTAATAGCATTGCTCTTAGCTGACAGCTACATTTTCTCCGTATTCTTCAAAATGGTATTCATGGTAATATTCTTTGGAGCTATGCATGGCCTCTTCCTACTTCCAGTTCTCTTATCATTATTCGGTCCTGGCTCTTGTACAAGAAAGACCGATGACATCAAAATGGCAAAACTAGAAAAATGTTATCCAAACCCCTACTGTATACCGCACCCACAGCTTGTCTTAAATGATCAAATATACAACGGAAAGAATTTAAATCCCAATGGCATCTATAAGATTTATGGGGATGACAAGGATCTAGGAATAGGCACATCAGGGGAAGACACTAGCGAAAGCAGTTCCAATCAGTCACAACGCCGGCAAATAGGTGAAGATGAGAACAGCCGTAAGAAATACGACGATGGCTGGAAACGATCTAGTTATTGCCAGAACTCTTCAAGCCAGTTCCAGCCTTCCGGCGAACTAGATCTTTATGGACACGATATGGATCGTAATTGGCAACGACAGCGTTATGAAGACAACCGTCGAGTTTTCGACAATTACAGGAAACCTCCGACAGTGTCTCGGACGCGTGATGATGACTGGGTCTCATCAACGCGGAAATCCAGTGACGCAGGGCAGCGTCGCGAGGGTGCCTACAGAGTGACGCGAGCTCACTCTCACCACAACATCCACAGATCGCGCGCTCCCCGCCGCTCCAACTCTCACCACAACTTAGAACATTTAGACTACGTTGCAGAAATGCGTTTTCCCTGACAGTGACCGCTTACCTCTCTAAATAATGTTACATTTACTCGAGTGCTCAATTTATGGACCAAAGTATTATGCTACTTTCGTACAAACGATACGAGCGTAGTCTAATTTCCTAGAAGTGAAGAACAATATTTTATGAACACTTTTTCTTGAAGGTGAAGTGTTGTTCGGGTGTGATACGAACTTTTCATCATTGTTTAATTTAAGGATATAAATGGAGCTTTGATTAGGAGCCTTATGCCAAAATCCAATCATTATATGTATCATCACTGTCTACCTAATACTGCGTAACGGTGTTATGTATACAATTAGATAGATGAAATGCTTCGCTTTCAACCGTATAGAGCAAGAAGTAGGTAGACAGTGTTACACAATTATATCTATGTAAGGTTTATATTCAAACGTATAAAAGCTCAGTAGTACACCAAAGTACGATAGGTTCAATAACATTATCTGTAAGTAAGTTATTGATTCGGGTGACAAAAAGTATGTAATTTTATTTTAATCTTAGTGAATATAACTGGTAGTTTTATAAGTATTTCGAGATTTTGGTACAAGGCTGAATAAGGAGATGTAGTTATTGATTATCGCTAAATGCCTAGTATAATACTGTGAATTAAAGGCCGCCGAAAAAGTATGTATAAATGTAGGTAACGTAACTGAATACTTTATGTGGTGTATGTGTCATTGAATTGTGAAATAATAAAGAAAAAAAAACGGTTGCAATTCAATTCAAGCAACATCACTATCATTTATAGTTCTGGATACTTTCTACCCTCTCTGCATTATGTTCAAAGCATTAGCGAAATAAGAGAAATGAGACACATCAAAACTACATAATGCAAAATTTAAAAGGGAGCAAGTGAAACATATAACTTCTTTATAAAATAATTTATTACAACATAACTAGTTCCTACAACTTAAGCAACTAACTACTCTAGCAGTTCAGTTAGCACTTGCAACAATCAAACATAATTTGACAACAATAAGGTCTATTATAATAAAAACGTCTTTTTAGTGTGATATAAAACTGGGATGGGTGATATGATATATAAAAGGGTGTGTAAATAAGTGTGTTAGGCAAAGGCGCAATTATCTAACTTTATGGAAACTGTAGCATCCGTATTAACTATCTAATAAAAAAATAAATATTCAACTATCGGTGGTTATAATCAATTCTTATTACTTATGTACAGTCTCCGCAGTTATTTAGATGCAGGTAAAAAATTAACATTGATTCAGTATAGATGCTTTACCATTACTTAGATCAACCGAGCAATGGTTAAATAGGCTTCATTAAAAAGCTAACATTGGCTATTTCCTCTGTACTGAATCAATATTTAAAAACAGTAACTGTACAATTTACTTTTCCATGCATTTTTTTTAACTTTTATAATACCGATGCCACCAAGCAGTTTCCTAAAACAAAGTTAATATTGTGCCAATATATGAAACATTTAAGTCTTCGTTTACAAATAAAGCTTTAACCATTACCTACCTATGGGTTGCTGTAAATATTAGTTGTGATAATATATCTCGATGCCATGTTCCATCTCTCTCTTACCTTATTATATTTACTGCTATTCTACAACTAATATTTTACTCTATGTCTTACAAATACATACAATTAAAATATGTTGTCTGTCATGGCATGTTCTGTCATTGCATTTGTGGTGATAACAGCAAGTGACTTTAGTGTTTGTTCCATGTGTTATGTAAGAATTTAATGTTTGTGACTGCTAGCGGTCACTCATCATGACTGAATAATGTAAATATTACCTGTTTTACATTAAATAAAAAATTGATTTATTTTCTTTGTTTTTTATTGAATTATCTCCGAATTCAAATAAATCTATCACAATTAGGTACAAGAATTAACTAACACTAATATTAAGATAATTAAAACGAATCGCATTCAACGAACAATATGCGACTTTCTAAACACATACATTACAACAGTACATACACATACACACATCACAATACGTGTTACTGGTGTATACTATAAACATATATTTTGATGAGATTTAACGTTACCAAGGACGCTTAATAATCGCGGTTCTTTAAAGAATACAAGAAGCGCTTTAAGAGTCGTCGTCTATGGCGACCAGATACGATCCACATTAAGTAGTAAGTGCTTATTGTATATTACAATACAAACAGTCGTGCAAGCCGGAGAGGCCGCCATCAAGACAAAGCCGTACGTGGCCAATAGATAAACAACTCTACAAGAAAAAGCATCAAATCTTAGGCGAAGCAGGCTTATCATACACAGATTTCAGTACCTCACTACAGAAAAGTATCAAATCTTTGGAGTCAAACCTCTCGCACATAAATTCTCGAATAAATGACAATTCTCTACTAGTGCAGTTTTCATTCGAGGTTTTATTCCACTGATTCTCCAGCACTCTGTTCAAAAGTGACTTGGCATCATTCGGAGTGATCTTTTTCACTAACACATCAGTTATAGCACTAACTGATAACTTTTCAGTTATCCGCTTCTTAGAATCTTCTTTTAATTGTTTACCAACTTGTTTCACGAAGTCTGGTCTCTGAAAAGATAAAAAGCAGATTGTGAATACCTAAATATCACATAGTAGAACTTAGTCATTGTTATGTTCAAGTAGTATTATTATAAGACTAACCTCTTCTAAACAGGACTTAACGATATCAGCAGTAGATGTATTGCCTGATTGGTTTGTCTGCACGGTTGCGTGTGCAGTTGGAGTAGTCTCGGTCTGTACATAAGTCACAGAGACAGGCGTCTCAACTGTCTGCATTTCCATATCAACAGATACATTAGCGACCGTCTGTACTTCCATATCAGCGCTTTCCACCTCCTTTACCTCAGGTTCTGAAATAGGTTCCTCAAAAACAGCCTCGTCAATTTTCACTACCACCAATTCACATTGAGCTTTCTCAACCCTCTTTGAAGCATAGTCTGATAACACTTTCCTAGCCACTTTTATTTTAGGCGCCTTAATACGTAACCTGTTTACTTCAAGCTCTGTCATCTTTGCTAAATCACCTACTGTTTCCACCTTTCCTAATAATTCTTTAACAAGCAATGACTTCATAACTGGAGAAGATAATTCAGCCGCAATGTTATCTATGGCGTCCTTACAATCTACCAAATCAGGGTAAATTGGATCAGTGTCATTCAATTCACTCGCTCTCACAATTTCAACAACAGGTGTCTCGTCCAGAGAGGATACTTGAGTGTCATCTGGAGTGTTTGTTGCAGTTTCTGTAAAACTTTCTATGGCTTTATTTAGTACTGTATCTAATTTAAATGCATTTTCTAGTCTTTTTGGCGATTTTAAGGGCGTGTGTTGTCGTTGCTGTCTTTCAAGACGTTTATGCATCGAGTTTGATGGCGATCGTACACCACCTGGTTCAATGTATTTCTGCACTGATACTGTAGTTGATACAGGTGGGTCATGGAAACTAACTCTCTTTCTCTGCAAAAAATATAAAAACAGTTAGAAAAATATATTAAAACATTCAAAAAAAGCATTGAATAGATTAGTGTACTCACTTTGCTAGCAGGTGAAACCGTAGCCTCATCGGATATTTCTACCAGTTTTCTCTTAAGTATAGGTCCTGATGGACTGCTGTCTACTGCAGGCAGTGACCTCCTAAATTTAAGAAATTGCTCACTATCTTCATTTTCGCTGGGAGGTTCAATATTTTCACTAACAGAATTGTATAACATTCGTAAATTTCTTCTAGCAGGTGTACTTGATGTACTAGGCTTTTTAATCTCTTCAGAGTCAGTCTTTTCTTGATTTATAATAGCTTGAACTTTATCAGGTACACAACATAATCCTAACATCTGCGCCGCCCGCCCTCCAGAACGCACTTGAGGTCTGTTCTTTTTAAGCGATAGAGAAGAGCTTGGACTAGTGCTAGTCACAGTTACTTCTACTCTGGGTGGCGACTGATCCCTTTTATCGGGGGAAATCTTGTCCTCAGTAAAAACTTCTGGAGAACTACATTTTTCAAAGGGTTCTCCATTACTGTGAACGGGTGAGGACAACGTTATCACCACATAATCTGCGCTGGTTTCGGGAGACGGTGATTTCTTATTTCTATCTGGACTCATGTTTTTAATTGGGGATATCTCAAGCGTATTGTTCAAGAAGTCTTGTTTTCTCTTAGCTTCATCACCAAATGATGACGGCGATGAAGCTCCTCCCTCGGATTCTAACTCATTTACCACCGAATCAGGTAAGGTTAATGTTGTGTTGTCCAAAGGTGTAATTGGGTTTACTTGGACTGGTTGTTCTTTAGTTAAAGAATCATCTTTGATTCCGCTACTACAAACGTCACTGTCTGCCACAGTCACGCTTATATTTTTGGTCTTATTATCAATATCAACTTCCATAAATTCAGTTGGATTAGTCGGCTGGGTGTCTGCCTCAGCAATTTCTTGTGTTGCTTGTCCTACTTGTGATTCATCGCTGCTAATGGTGAGTGGAGGCGGATCATCAGCGACTACAATCACAACATCTGAAAACTCTGTATTAATCGGTTCCGTATCCATATTGTCGGTCAGATCTGCTTGAGTTTGATCTTCAACAGCAGTTTTATTCAGCGACAGTTCTATATCATCTTTACTGTCTTGTTTATCTTTTGTAGACTCAGCATTACCCACAACTACACTATCTAATATGCTCTGTGATTCGGGAATATTGTCAGGTTGATCGGGAAAGAGCTTGATTTTTTCTAAAGTTACGACCGGCACTTTCGCGGAAGCCTTTTTAGATGATTTTACTGATATAGTTGTTATAGTTGAATCTTGCGAACTTTCAATAACGTCGTCGGAATATGGAAGTTCATCAGAGAAAGAAGTATCTTTACTTCCAATATCTTTTTCTTGGCTATCTTCAACAGTGACCGAGGAGTTTGAACTATCGCTTTCGCTTTTATCTTTGTTGTCTTTGTTCTTCTCTTTAGTTTTTTTCTCGCCTTTTATTGCACTATTTGATTCGGATTTTGATTTGTTCAGTTTTTCAAGTAAAGTCTTTCTCCTACCAGTACTAACAGATTCTAAAGCTCTTCTAGTCAACCGACTTTGTGACTGCATTTTTAAAAACGGATGTCCTTCAACCATGTCTATTGCTAATTCTTTTTCAATCCTTGATTTTCTAGGTTTTTTAGTGCTTGATTTTGGCTCATCCGTTTTATTTTTCGCTACTGTTGGCGTTGATGGCCTTTTACCACTTTGAATAGGACTTTCTGATTTTACATGCGCGGTTTGATCTCCTTTTAGACTTATGTCGTCTTCCTTCTTACCTTCTTTTTCATTTGAATTTCTTTTGTTTTTGATAATTGCGCATTGATCTTGAACAACATCAGAACTATCATTTTTCGTGGTTTCCTTGTTCTCGTTAACTGTTTCAGTCTCTTTAAAGCTTGGATTAACCACAACTATGTCTCTAGTACTTTTATTGTCACCTTTCTCATCACTTTTCACAACAGTTTCATTTTCCTTCAATTTCATGGCCTTTGTTTTGCTAACTGTTGTATCATTAACTTTCGTAACATCGACTTTACAATTATCAGATTCTTTTGGACTTGAGGTTTTCTTATCACTGTCAATTTCCATACTTGTTGGTAAATCTGTACTCGTGCAGTTATCATCACGTACACTTTCAGTAATCTCTGTTTCCGAAACTTTATCGTTAACAATGGTCATGTCCTCAGGTGGACATTGATTATTTTCCATAACTTCATCTTTATTTAAAATATTTGGATCTTCGAGAACTCGTTCCTGATCAGATTTATTTGCTTTCTGTTGATCAGTCTTTGAAACTATTGCGGCGGCGTCATTGATTACATTTTCATCTTTATCTGCTGCAGTATTTAAAGAACTTGATTCAGCTGTAGATTGTTTATCCTGGTCTGTTGATTTAATATTTTGTAAAGACTGACGCTTCTTTTTAGCACTTAGCGACATTAACTCTTCAAATTTTCTAGGCTTTCTTTTAACCCTTGAGGGCCTATCAGCAGACAATAATGGTGGGGCAGAATTAGTGACGTTGACTGTATCATCCTTTTTGGGCTGAGTAGGGGTTTTTATCGCCCTGTCTGTCTTGTTAAGATCTTCAGATGCATCCTTGTTCTCTTTTTGAACTCCCGACTTTTCTATTAAATTTCTTACATTACGAAACACGCGATCTTTTAAAGCCATTCTTGGTGATTTAGTGCCTTGTGGTGTTGTTGGATCAACTTTAGCAACAATTTTTGTTGGTGGTGCATCTTTAGAAACAGGAGAACTTTCCTTCTTCTTATTTTCAGCAAAGAAATTTTCTAGTATTGTAGGCACAACATCTGAACTTGGTAGCTTCGAAAGAATTTCCGTAGCAGTTTCATTGTTTCCTAAGTTTGAAGTTTTACTTTCTGATTTACTGCTGTTGGATGTGTCTTGTGAGTCTGTCTTCCAAGACACAAGTTTAAATTCATCCTGTGATTGTGATAAATCTTGATATAAAGCTGGAATGTCTTCTCTTTTCCTTTGCAATTTTTCTTTTTGGTTTTCTGTTAGTTTCCGTGGGTTAAATTTCCAGTTAGACTTGACGACCACATATTCTTCTCCATTTTCCACAACAGTATTCACTATACTTGGTTCTTTCTTTTTCACTTTTTTTGTAATCGTAATATCTTTCGGTGCTGTGAATGTAACATTGTCAGAGACATCAGTTTTGCTAGTAGCCCTTTCTTTATTAGCTCTTTCTTTATCCAAATCTTCTAATATTGAGTTAATTTTTTTAAATGTCGTATCAGTTTCCACTATTTTATGAGACAACGTTTTTAACATAGTAACAACTGTTTTTTTTAATAAAGACTGACTTAGAAGGTATGTGGATATGTCTATTAATTCATCCACAATGATTGGTATAAGTTTGTGGTACAACTCAGATTGAAACAATTCAGTTAAGTGATACAGTGACTTATCAACATAAGTCAATAGGTCTGTGGCCTGAAAAAAAAGATTTATTAAGTATACACACAACACAAAATATGATAATGTTATTGGGTACACGTCGATAAATACCTCAGGCTTCTGTTTGATTGCTTGAATCATAATTTTCAGTATTTTCTTCATTGTAAACAATGTATATCGAGCTACTATTTCGTTAACATCATTCCCTATTATGGACATTACTCCCATTACTCTATCTACAAGTATGGGAAACAGCTTTTCATATGTCTGATATGAGTTCATGCGACCAGTCAACACATGCAAGAGTTCCATCTCCTTTTCTACTGATGCACCTGTTAAAAATTACTATATTTTAGAACACAATAATATATCAAATAATGCTATTTTATGGCTAGGAAGAACAACATCATATTACTAAAGAATCATCAAACACCTGTCAAAGTAACAAGCCGAACCCAAGTTGCCACGTTAAAAAAATATATGTACAACAATTGATTGATTCTATATTAGACTTTACATTAGAATTTATACCATTATTGCCAACTGCAAACAAAAATATTGCATTTAATCGCGATAAACAACTAATTAACAACAGAAGATGAACTAAACTTAAATGTAAAGAAAATCAATTACTTAAAAAAGTTATCAAAATTTAGGAATGCAATATTTTTGTTAACCTACTTTTTTTTTAAGTTGATACTGTCTCATTGGTTTTACAATGATCAGTAGATTGAAACTACAGTCACCAAGATTGCAATGAGCGGGTCTTGGGCTGAGTCTTAGCTTAGTTAACACTTGACAGGACTTTATGAATGCCTTTTTCTAATCATCTGTTGTTCTTACACTGGATCCATGGGAAAAGGTTTATGGAGACTTAATAAAATATAGTCAAAAATACTCACAACCTTCCTCAGCCATCTTGTGTTTTATAACACCAAGTAGAACACACAATTTGAAAAAAATATATGAATGTGTCATTTCTGCAGTATCATTCAAAAATTCAGATAAAGCTGATGGGTAGACATCCGTTTTCTTGAGTTTCTTATGGAATATGTCATGCATCGTGTACCATGTTAAGGCTGCCACATCAACCTGAAATTATATAGTAGATTTATAACTTTTCTTTGTTATTTAACTGCACAGCATTTTAAATGTATCTGGTATTGTTGTAATGGTTTGCGTAGTGAAAATGTAGTATCATCGAAACATTACGTTATTTATTTTTTATTTTTTTATTTTCTTAAAAAAAACGTTGCCCCACATTAGGATTTTCTCCTATGTCGAGGGTGCGTTTACAAACATACAATTTCACATGCACATCACACCCAGACCCGGGAACAACAATCTGTGGATCACACAAAGAGTTGTTCCGTGCGGGAATCGAACCCGCAACACGTTATTACACCCGCAACGTTATAACATAAGTATATTGCCATATGATTGATTTGTTCACTTAAATCATGACAATAATAGCGCTGAATGTCATCACTCACATTAATCCTGATGAATTAATGCACCCATACATGTAAACATGCATGCACAAATGCATCTTTGACACTGAAAAATTCTTAGCAATGTGACTCGACAAGAAGTTATTAGTATAACAAAAACTACTTCTTCTATTAAAAGTTCTTTGACAAGAGATAGGATATTAAAAAACATATGAATGTTTTAATACTTACATTTTTAAACAATTGCACTCTCTCCAATGGCCACATCATGATGTTACACAAGCTTAAAGCACAAATGTCATATTGTGTTTCACATACAGATTCTGACAATGCAGTCCAGAATTTCAAAGAAATATCTGTAGCAGTCAGATTCTTTAAAATGTATCCTATGGCGAACGTCGGAGAGCAATGAGCTGGATCCAACAGCATGTTTGTTAGAGGCAACAACTTTGTTACCATCTCTTTAAAAGAACAACTGGAAAATAAAATAAATGAGGGTAATGACAATTTTGTTCTATTTCTTGGGTACAATGAATCAACATATTATGTTGATAATCCTTATTCAATAACTTGTAGCTAAATGTAAAATACATTAAATATTGGAATGCCTCATATAATTATCATTATTTATCTGTGAGAGCAAAACTTGGAAAATTGCAACTAAAAAAATATTTTACCTTTCATATCCAAGGTGCAATGCAGGATTCAGTAACGATGTTGTGATTTTACAAAGTGGATGAGTGACATCATTTTTTGATTTCATAAGTTGTTTGATTCTTGCATCTCCATCAAACAGTGACACTAGTAAAGCATTGAACACTATATCTGTAAGTTTGCTGTTGTTTTTGCATTCCTAGAACAAAAAATATATAAATAGGTAAATAAAAAAAGATGTAAAAAAAAATTGATCAATAGCAAATGACATTATACCAGCATAATAATAATAATTACCTGCACCAAAAGCTCTAATATGGACAACATTTCAGAGAACAGATCTTTTCTAATGGTGTTTTCTGGTAATTCACCAATCGTCCGGAGGAATGACTTCCATAAACATGTCATCTGCTGTTTCGTCAACCCTTCTTCTGAATTTGCAGACATCATTATGGTTGAAGTCAGGGAAAAGATCCAGTGATTCCAATTATCCACTAAATTCTTAGTGCTTATCATTTTTCCTTTCAGTTTAGGTAATTCTGTGCAACCATCACAATTAACATGTCCCACCAGGTCTACAATAGCCTGTATACAGAGTTTTTTTAGTGACATTGATATTTGTCCAGGCACAATAATTGTCTTATCTGTGGCATTGTGCCTTCCGAAGCAGAAATGTAGAAATGTGACCAATATTGTGTCTATGAATTTATCTATTTTGTTTTGGAATTTCTCTAATAAATGCCACCAACATTTAAACTTTGCTAAGGCAGTTTCCTCAGCTTTGGCATTATTTGACTTGAGTGGGATTATTAAAAGCTTGATCCTTTTGTTTATGTTGCTTTCATTTGTTTCAGTTGAGAAACTGTCAATGAGTACAGTCCAGCATTCAAATGCTTTACATCTGTTTTCTACATCCAACTTGAATGCAGCTTCAACAACAGGTAACATTGAGTTTATTGGAGTACCAATGCTGCCCATTGCTTGTGTGATTTGATGTTTAAGCAACTTAATATATACAATCCAAACTCTGTGCCAGACGCCACTTTTATGTATTAACAGATTTTTCATTATTGTTGGATACCTAAAATGAAAGGTTCAAGGTATTATTGGAACTTAAATTTTCATGATACCAGCTGCAATGTGGATGGTAATCAAAGAAATTTTAACCTGATAATATGGCCTGTATTACACTAGCTAAATAAATGTTTATCAAGGGGTGAACTACTATGAAATTGTAATCAAATTGTAGAATCAAGTTTTAAAATATTTATCAATAAAAAAATAACATTTAAAATGTATGAATAGTTTAGTTATAACTTACTTCTGTGGATTGCAGATACATTCTAAAACATTATGCCACTGGGGATTGTCAGTGTAATCAAATGCAACAAGTTCTTCAGTTAAATGTTCAAGTATTTCAACAGTAATGTCAAGTTCTGTCATATCCAAAGCCAAGCTGTTCATTAGAGTAGGAATAATCTTTGAAAACCAAACGGATATGCCTTTCTCCACAAACTGTGTCTTCTTTTCAGGTGACAGTAATTTTAATAATTTGTGCAGTATAGTACACACCTGAAAAGATTTCCAAATTTAAATTAACACTAAAATAAGCAAATTTTTTTTTAAATACCTATTTCATACAATAAAATATATTTTTCATACAGTAAAAAGTATCTAAACAACTAAAAGAAACATCCAGCTTTAAATTACACAGTTACAGCCATATCATAATTTGTTTGAAAAAAATTCTTATTCATATAATGTTAGTACAGTATAAAAGAGATTGTTGAGGACAGAACTATACTATAAGACAAAAATAATTTAATTATAATATGTTAAAATAAATAACATAAACATAAGTATAATATATGTAAATAGATATGGATATACATATAACAAAAGACTAATTTCTGTTTAGGTAATTTTATATTAAAACTGAATTGTATAATTATTTGAATTAATTTAAATTTAATTAAAAACCTTTACGTTTTTAACACACATATGTGATACTCATTATCGTTTATGAAAGCTTGGAAGCTTTCATACAAAAAGGTTTATTTTATGTTATCATGCAAAGTTTATAATGATATGGCTGTTGACTCAGAGGAAGATAATGCAGAACATATGAACTAATATTTCATATCAAAGTGCTTAGCTGTTGTAATGATATGCTTAAGCACTTAATTATGTAGCTTATTTAAGAGTCATATAGAGTTATTTTTGCTAGTGTAAAAGTTTCTGTTTAACAATAACAATGATTTCCTTGAAAACAAAAACATTTCTACTAATTAAATTAACACAACAATACTTAGGTTAAACAAAACATTTACCTGGAATTTAATTTTGCTGGGTATTCTTACATGGCAGTACAGGTTGAATAGCTCCATGATTTGCTCATGGTGGTCTGCGAGTGATGCAATAGTTTCATCAGGGAATGACAGCAATGTATCATAACATAACTGCTTCAATGAATCCGCCTTGTTGTGTAAAGCTATTGTTGTTATTATGTGAATCACTGCTAAAGCTGATGGTGTCAGGTTTGGACAGAGGTCCTTATTTTCAGTCTGTAATGATCATTAGGGACATTTTAACTATATGTTGAACTATATCACCAAACCAATACATATAAACAAAGCAATGTATGGAGATGACCATTACCTGTACTCTGGTTACTATGATAGAAATAATTTTCATGAGTGTGGCGGCGTACCGCAGTTCGTCTTTTAAGTCTCGTGCACATATTACTAGCAACTTGTCAAGATCCGAAGTGGTGAACACTGCTTCATTGCCCAGAGCAATAAGTAATTTTCTATACTCTTGGGATCTCACTATGTAGTTTTGCAATCCATCATTTTCCAACCGGTCCAAAATAGATTTCACGTCCATACAGATGTTTTCGTCCGGCATTTCTGAAACCCGATTCCAATTAAAGTTTATGGACAAATCACAGACACAGAGTAAAGTAAGAAACACAAGTTAGTTCGAAACCGAATTAGGTGGTTGTATGCACATAATCTAACACGAACGTACTCGTTGACATCAAAACTGTACATGTATAGTTACAAAAAAGATATAGTCGCTCGAAACAAAACCAAGCCTATGGTTACCACTACTTCACGAGTACCGTATCCTTTAAAGTATATCAATCTTAAGGAGTAATACAATACAAACAACGTACTTAAATGCACGAATCACCATTAATATTCTTAAATGCACAGTACTTGTTATCACATTAATTCAAAGTCGAAATAATAGCAAGACATTTTTGACACAAAACGCATTTCTGGCGCGAAGTAAGACAGCTAAATTGTTGTCATAATAAAAAAACATTGTTGCCATAATTAACACTTTGTACATTTGATGCAAAATAACATATTATTCTGAAAAATATTCGTTTAGTTTGTAATAAAAGTGTGATTCAGGCACTTTATCACATTAAACTTACTTTAACAATAACAAACATAAAATGAAAAATTACCTCGCATTATCGCATACTAACAGGAACTTCTGATATTTATCACTAGATCGCAGCACTAGCCCTATTGGCTTTTTGGGTTCCGTTATCTAAAGATATCCGAGTACCTACCTTCCTACCTATGTTTGACACATTTATTCATTTTAAATGATTTACAAATAAATATTTATTGTAACATTACTTACCTATGCAAAGTTCCATATTATCGACCTTTTAGGGGCTTTGGTGGATACGTAAAACGGGTACCTCCCTACCTGCTGTGGCGACAACAACTAGGTAAATAATTATAATAAGTGAGTTTAAAAGACTGTCAGTTGTTTGACTGGTTATTACAATAAAGTTGGATTTTTTTCAGGTAACTTGATATTACTTGTTATAATACGTAGTACGGTACCTACTACTTATTAGGTATGAAATCAAAGTCTTAGTAGGTACCTACTTAATAAAGTCAATATAAAAATAAACTGGAGTCAGAACTCAGCATTCATGATTGTGTTCACTAAACCTACAACGTAAACGAGACAGTCAAATTATTTTCCACCTACTGCTTATTAATATTTCATCGCCACCCACTCACATGCCTTTACGAACTCATCAACGCGCGAGTCCCTGATGTGATGAGTAAGGTTGTATGCCTCTACGCCAACAACTACCCACTTAATATGATAATCACGGTAATTAGGTACCTATTATGTTAAGACTGTTATTCTCAGTACCTACTTATCAATTTGTCAAAATGCTACCCAACACCCAAACACTAATTCTATGAAATTGATAACGATATTAAAATTACTCAGTTAAAAACCACTTAAAGTTCGCCTGTGAAGCGAAGTTCGTTTACATTTCTAATATCTATTGCATCTTCTCTAGCGCACGTTACAGCGGCTTGCACACACCTCGCCATTTGAAGACAAGTGCCGCGGCGTGCGCCCGCGCATATGTGCCTCGTGCCGCGTAACTCTCCCGGCAATTGCAACGTTCGTTTGTCGAATGTCCACGCGATCGTGCTGAGCATAACAAACAGTGTTTTCAAGCAAAGCATATAAATTACACACAAGACCATATCAGACCGCGCGCGCGAACGTGTGGTGATAGTTATGTGTTCAAATGACTGGTGCTTCAGTGTGCAAAACATTTTGGAATCGTTGTGACGGCTCACAACAAACAGTGTATTCGCCTGATCAATAGCAATGCCAGGACACGCAGGAAGTCCCTACTGGGCTGCCGTTGATTTCGATAGCGAAGGTGAAGAAGCCCAAACGCCACCAAGCAATCACCGGGTGTACCTAGATCCTTGGGACAACGAGGCTTACGGAATGATGCAAGCGGAGACAGCAGAATCCAGTCAAGGAGAGAACTTCAATTCGTTTGCCGGCGAGCCAGTCAGTGCTAGTTTTTACTATGTGCCCACGAAAAACTATGATTCTGGAGAAGAGCCGCCACTACCGCCGCCCAGATGGAAGAGGGCTCCGCCTGAAGAAATAATTGCCCCTGAATATGCAATTTATGGTCGGAAAGCATCCCGAACTATCGTCCCTGACTTTCCTCCTGAGGCAATATATGGGGAACGACCAATAAGTAAGTGTTCCTTTACATTCACCTTGTTTAATTAACATTGACAGGCAGTAAATACGCCTAGATATTGTGACCAATTGTGTCTGAATAGGATTTATTGCGACAATCATACAGAAAATGAGATATTAATAGTTTTTTATTGATTACATAGTACACCACTAACTTTCGTTTATGGGCAGATAATGTAGGCAGAATCATTAAAATATTTTCTAATTATTTCGTCATAATTTTAATTAATGTATTCTACGTATTAATTAATGTAATGTCTACTCGTTAGACCATCATGTCTTTAAGAAAAATTAGATTGTGAATTTTTAATTGTAGCTTTAATACGTACCTATACTTATTTTATTATTTACTTTTAAGTGTTTACATGCGCACTGGGTAGGTACGTACCTAATTACTTATGTGATTTTAGTAAGATTATTCTAAAAAAAAACACAAACATGTAGATAGCTGCCTAGATAGGTAATTATTTTAAAAATAAACTAATAGTTAATTTATTTCTTAGATTATATATATCGTTACGCTATTCAAGTTTGTAGGTAAGTACCTATAATTACGATGCTGCCTTGAAGTTCATAAATAGCTTGCTTTTTAAATGCAACTTACTTATGTATCAGGTACTTAGGTAAGTACTGTTTTGATACATAGATTTATAAACCGAAAAAAAAATTCATTAAAACGGAATATAGCCTAGTTGCAACAATTACCTACTTATAAAATTGACAGGCATTTGTTTCGAAATATGTGATGTACCTATATACTTAGGTACTTATTATAAGGCCGCGTTCTCACTGAAGCGAAGCGGAGACGAGCTATGCCGCGATTCACCAATCACATGACTTCAAATCCACATTCATGAATCACAATTCAGAAGATATGTGGATTTGAAGCTACGTGATTGGTGAATCTCTTCTCCGGTTCACTCCACCTCATTGGAACCACAGCCTAAGTTGATACGTGCTATAATTTGGCATTACCATATTGATATCGATCCGTTATAAGCTTCATAATATTATGGTCCTATTCACTTAGGTATAGTTATAGTAGGTAAGTAAGTACCTATAGAGCTGCTAAGAAAACTTATGTTATTTATGCTATCTATAACATAACACCATCCTGTCCATCTGGAATCTGGTAGATTAGAATTATCCAAAGATTGTCTGTAAGAGATTGCCATTGTGCCGCATGTGCGACAAGTTTGTCCGTTGTATCTCATTTTTTTTAAGTCTTTTATCTTCTATTCTGTCTTACAATGTGGTAAATAAATAAACTAAATATATCACGCTTTTAATATCCGAAAGGATAGGCGGAGTCGACAGGTGTACGTACTTATGTTTTTACTGCACGGTAGGTGTGGTGGCAACTGGCTGCTGTGCAATTTGTCGCGGGTCCAATCCACAAATTCTTGTATCGGGTCTGGGTTTGTGCATGTGAATTTGTATGTTTGTTAACGCACTTGCGACATAGGAGAATATCTTAGTGTGGGACAACATTAAAAAAAATGTTTGCCGAAGAATTAGCATGATCCGATAATCGCAGAAGGTTGTCCAAACATTTTTTGAGAACGCTTTTGCACGGTTCAGAATAATATCTAAGCTAACTCTTAGTTGCAGTAACAAGGAATGTGGGTTGGCCTTCATAACGAAATTAATGTAAGAATGAAACGGTATGATCTTAGATTAGGTAAATCTCTAGGTAATAATAAGCAAGATGGTATAAAATCCTTATACAAAAAATGGCAAGCCTTTGAATCGGGGATAAGATTCATCGAGACTTACTAGTCGGGCTTTCGCGATCGCCCGATTTAGGGGCACTTACAGCCTAACAGCGATCATACCACCCAATATATTGCAACTAAGGGGCTTAGGGCACGATTGGTTATGTAGTCTGATCGGTGCTTAAGATGATCGAACGAACTGTTAACCTCCTTTTGCTTAACCCACGTTTTTTGAAAAGAGCCAAAGCAATTTTGGCCATTGGCAATCTCAACATGGGCCCTCAGATTCACCATAAACGTAACTGATCAACTAATAACATTTCTAAGCTAATAATATGTATGTAGGTATAGATACCTAGATGCGAAATCTATTATAATCCGAAAGTTTGGTTTTAATATATTTGAGACTTACGACTCATTCAACCACTAACCGGATTATCTGGATGAAAATTGTCACCAAGTCCTGTAGTCAAAAGAAGTACAGACATTTTTATCAGTTTTATACCATTTTATATTTAGTACAGGAATTCTGTTTCTGAGCCTTATCAGTATCTAGTATTTCAATTTCGGTTTTTCGGGTGACACCGTGTGGGTGTGAGTCACATGAAGAGGATGACCATAACGAATTGTTTGGTTAACCAGTAGGTACCTATCACACAAGTACTTTCTGTGTTCTAGAAACAAAATTATCAAAGGGCAACCAGGGCTAATATAAATTCTTATCACATTAATCACTCTCGCTAACATTAAGTACCTATTCGGCCTATTCCTCTATAATTTTCACGCTCATTTTCAAATAAATCGATATCGTTTACGTGTTTAACGTCCCTGTAGATAGGTATGATTTGTGTAACGTACTCAATAGGTGATGATAAGCATTATACTATGTACTTACAAACCTTTTGAAAATATAATAAGGATAATAGGTATTATTAGGATAATTAAGGGTTGTTTACTGCATTTAGTGACGTCATCTCACAAACCTATTTAAGTGGGGTAAGCTCACCAGACATTTCATTTGTCGGTTGGCTTTCGCACAGGACGGTCGTGAGGTGTCGGCGCTATTTGCTGTGAGTTATTTCTTTTCGAGATTATTTTGTGCATTTATTGATTATTATGTTTGATTAGTGGCTGTTTGTCAATTACGATTCAATTTGTTAATTTTTGTGATTTTGGTTATTTAAATAAAATTGTTTAGATATAAGAATAAATAAGTTGTATTTTGTGTGGCAAGTTTGTTTTTTTTTTAATAAAATCCGGCTTCTGATCCTAAAATCAGAAGTGGGATTCGCCTACGTACCCACATAAATTAGATTTCTTAAATTATTTTGAGAAACAGCCACTAATTCATAATTAAAATGCCACGTTCATCTTGTGACGATTCTGACGTGTCACCACGCCGCAAAACAAAGCGCGCGAGTAGCAAATCGCGTCGGCACCGTCGTGAATCTCGTTCGCGCTCCCGACGCAATCCTCGTTTGTGTTCTCGCCGCGAACATTGTTCCCGGTCTCGCCGTGATTCTACCCTACGTTCACGGTCGCGTTCTCGTCGCGAATCCAGGTCGAACTCTCGACTACGTTCTCGCCGCGATTCTCGGTTACGTGTATCACGCTCGCGCAGCCGTGAGGGCTCGGTAGGGCAAACGTTAGCGATTATAATGTCGCGATTAGATGCCATTGAGGGTAGCGTGGCCAGTACGTCACATACGCCACCACTTGCCGAACAGAGCACCAGCCAGCGTTGTAATAGCGATGTACCGTCAGCGGCCGACACGTTGGCTGATGCTCTCAACGCCGTTATAAACAAAGTAAAACCCCATAACTACTACGTGTCTAATTTCGATCCAGCGGTTCATAACTTCGAGACATGGTGCAACGAGGTTGAACGGGCAAAATTAACAAATAATTGGGGTGATTCGGAATGCTTATCGCGGGTAGCCCATTGTTTGAAAGGGGACGCCAAGACCTGGTTAAATGAATGGGTTACCAACGATCGCTCTTGGAGTAATTTTATTAAAGAATTTAGATCTTTGTGCCCGCACAAGCTCGACTACGCAAATATCCTCTTTGAGGTTATGAACACGAATTCTAATAAATTTAATACGTATGCTGAGTACGCCCGCCGTTCGCTGCTGCGATTGCGCATTGTTAAGGGTCTAAGCGAAGAACTGATGGTCCAAATAGTAATTCGAGGTATCAATGATGCCCAAGTGCGGGCCGCTGCAGCGAATGCCGACCTAACTATTGACAATCTAGTCACGTTTTTAGCCATTTATACTAAGCCTAGCTTTACTAAACCTGATAATCGTGCAAGTTCTAGGCTCAACTCATTTAGTAAACGCAACAATGGACCCTCGGGTACCTCGTGTTACTTATGCGGTAAAACCGGACATTTGCGAACCAATTGCCCTAAGAAGCGTAAACCTGACGAAAAATCAAATACAGTGCCTTGTGCTTTCTGCAAAAAGCTTGGACACGCTGAGAGTGATTGTTATACGAAGCGGCACGTCGAAGCTTCGAATAACAATCGACGAAAGGTGAACCTTTGCAGGGAAGTGCATGGCTATTCGGGGTCTAATGATATTACTACCGCCGTAATCCAGGGCATCCCGGTTGACATCTTAATAGACAGTGGGGCCCTTGACGTGTCCCTAATCTCTTCGGACATCGTAAAACATTTTTCCTGTTCGCGAAAGCCAACCTATCGTGTCTTAAAAGGTATAGGCAATAACGGTATTGTCGCTCACGAATATGTTACCTTGACAGTCGAGTTCAGTAAAATCTCACTTGAAATAGACTTTGTTGTGGTGCCGGCATCATATATGAATACACCAATAATTGTCGGAACCGATGTGCTTAACAGAGATGGCGTTACTTATATCCGAACAAAACATGGCCAATATCTGGCGCATGCTACCCACTCAATTTCTGCCGTCAGCACTGTTAGGCCTGTCGAGCCCTCTGACATCAACACACCTCTTCAAGGTGAGGAATTAAGGCTCTTGATGCAAACAATAAACGATTTTGTTCCATTTTTCATATCTGGTACCGCTACCACGACAGTTACGACGGGTAAAATGCAAATAAACTTGACAAGCGATGTCCCCGTGGCATATCATCCCTACCGCCTTTCTTACCAAGAAAAACTTAAGGTTAGGGAAATAATAAAGGATTTATTGCACAAAAATATAATTAGAGAGTCCACATCCGAATATGCCAGCCCCATCATCCTGGTAAAAAAGAGAGATGGCGCTGACAGAATGTGCGTGGACTTCAGGGCGCTCAACCGCATCACTGTCAAGGACCGGTATCCCCTGCCCTTGATAGAAGACCACATTGACCGTCTTGGGTGCTCAAGGTTCTTCACAGGTCTCGATATGGCCTCGGGCTTTCATCAGATTTTAATAGATGAGGCCTCAGTCCATAAGACAGGTTTTGTCACTCCGGAAGGGCACTACGAGTACCTCAAGATGCCTTTTGGTCTGTGTAACTCTCCCACCGTCTACCAACGAATTATTAACAAAACCCTTCGAAGATTTATCGAGGCAGGTCAAGTCCTCGTTTACATTGATGACGTCCTCATAATGAGTATGACAGTTAGCGAAGGTATTAAGTTGTTACGAGAAGTATTACAGACATTGACTGAAGCTGGTTTCTCGATAAATCTTCGAAAGTGCTCGTTCCTAACCACTGAAGTGGAGTACCTTGGCCGCATTATTAGTCACGGTCAGGTTAGGCCGAGTCCTCGCAAGATCGAAGCCCTAGTAAACGCCCCCGTACCAAAGAACGTTAAGCAAGTTAGGCAATTCTTAGGCTTAGCAGGTTACTTTCGGCGGTACATTAAAAACTACGCCACAAAAACTGCAAGCATCAGTCGTCTGACCAAGAAAGAGGTAAAATTTCATTGGGGCAGTGAACAAGAGCAAATTCGTCAGGACCTTATCAAAATATTAACCAACGAGCCCATACTTGCAATTTTTGACCCCAAATTAGAAACAGAGGTCCACACAGACGCGAGTAGTGCAGGTTACGGTGCTGTGTTGTTGCAAGTCCATGATGATGGTAGCAAACGCGTGGTGGCTTACTATAGCAAGGTCACTCAGGGCGCGGAGAGCAGATACCACTCGTATGAGTTGGAAACGCTGGCGGTCGTCAGAGCATTGCAACATTTCAGACATTATTTAATTGGCATTAAATTCAAAATTATCACTGATTGCAATGCGCTGAAGTCCACCGAGCGAAAAAAGGATCTGCTCCCACGCGTTGCGCGTTGGTGGATTTACCTGCAGGATTACAATTTCTCTATTGAATACAGAAAGGGCATAATGATGTCTCATGCCGACTACCTAAGCAGGAATCCACCCACGGCCCAAATCAACAATATAGAGAGACCATTAAATTGGGCTCAAATTGCACAAGCCGCTGATAACGAAACTCAGGAGCTTCTGCAAAAGCTTAGGGACGGTAGCCTTGATTCTCGACGTTATTTGTGTAAAAACGACTTGCTCTACTACCGTTACTCTCCAGTTGGTGAAGAGTCTAGGCTTTTATGTTTCATACCAAAGGGTCACAGGCTCAGTCTCTTACGTATATTTCATGACGAACACGAGCACATAGGAGCTGAGAAAACGATGAACCTAATTCTCAAACATTTTTGGTTTCCCGGCCTCAAACAATTTGTCAGTAAGTATACGTCTCATTGCCTAGTGTGTATGTCCAAAAAGAGAGTTCCGAGAGCTTCTCGCCAACCCATCACGTCATGGGAAAAGCCTGACGAACCCTTCAACACGATTCATGTAGATGTGTTAGGCCCATTACCAGAGTCGAACGGTTTTAAATTTGTTTTAGTGCTCGTAGATGCGTTTACAAAATTTTGTCTACTCTATGCTTTGTATCGTCAAGATACTACCGAACTCAAGCGTGTATTTGAAAATGCAATATCACTCTTTGGTGTACCTAAGTTGTTAGTTTGTGATCGTGGCCGAATGTTTGAGGCCTCTAGCTTTACGGGGTGGGTAGTGGAATTGGGGTGCGACATCCACTACGTAACGCCTGAAATGCACCACGCAAACGGCCAAGTAGAAAGGTACGTTCGAACTGTTTTAAATCTCATTCGCGTTGAGAGCGACAATAAGAATACTACTTGGTCGGATGCGCTGTGCAAAATTCAATTAGTTTTAAACATTACTAAACAAAAAACTACGCAACTGTCTGCCTTAAATTTGCTAATTGGATCCGACGCGACCACTCCTGTCATCCGTGCGCTGATCCGCGACGTGGCCGTCGAAAACGCACAACCAAATCGTGAGGCCTGGCGGGAGATGTGCAGGGATAGAGCCAGGGGCCTGCTTAAAGAAAACCAAGCGAAGCAGGACTCGTACGTGAACCGTCAACGGCGCCCTCCCAGAACTTTCCAGGTTAACGACTGCGTATTTGTAATCAAATACTCTCAATCTACTGGAAAACTTGATTCGGGGATGAGAGGTCCTTACCGAGTGATCAAGGTTCTTCCAAGTGGCCGGTATGAACTCAAGTTATTGGGTGGTGCTCGTGGAAAGACCACACAAGCAGCTGCGCAGTACATGGTGCTTTGGAAAGGGGAATGGTGCCCCGAGAGTTGTGCGGCTTTCTTTGAAAGTAAGTGACTGTTATTAATTGTTATATGTCTAACAAATGTGCTATGTTACAGCTCCTAGGTACGTTCCGTATGAATGTCGGGAATGTTCAAGGATTTGCCTGGTTACGAAGTGCATCTACAAACTTATGAGAGCGGACGTTCAGTGTGATGTCCCGGAGGCAATCCTGGTTGACATGCTGTATGATGTTTGTGGGCTTAGTCCCGGCAGACACGTTTTACGTGCGGGTTTTTACCCGGCAGACACTCTTTGAGGGTGTGGGCTTAGTCCCGGCAGACACGTTTTACGTGTGGGTTTTTACCTGGCAGACACTCTTTGAGGGTGTGGGCTTAGTCCCGGCAGACACGTTTTACGTGTGGGTTTTTACCCGGCAGACACTCTTTGAGGGTGTGGACTTCGGTCCGGCAGACATATCATGTGATATGTGTAGGAAGTGATGTATGAGAGTACGAGTATATAATCAGATGGAGATGCGTGTGTGAGATGCTTGTTAGCAGTGGCAGATGATTCTTATTTACTCGTATGAGTCTATGACAGAGGGCCTTGTTAGCGTGAAGTATGAAATTGTAGGCAACACTCTGCGGTTGATTGCTTAATAAAGCTAACATCTCTACTTTTAGACGCGGAAGATGGAGACGATAACGATGAGATCGCAGGACCCTCATCAGAGCCTGCAGCTCCCTCATCTGCCGCGGATGAAACGGGAGATGTCGCTGAAGACCCTGCTGGTGATGTGCCCGAGGACGGCGCACAGTCAGGAGAGGCCGTATTAGGATAATTAAGGGTTGTTTACTGCATTTAGTGACGTCATCTCACAAACCTATTTAAGTGGGGTAAGCTCACCAGACATTTCATTTGTCGGTTGGCTTTCGCACAGGACGGTCGTGAGGTGTCGGCGCTATTTGCTGTGAGTTATTTCTTTTCGAGATTATTTTGTGCATTTATTGATTATTATGTTTGATTAGTGGCTGTTTGTCAATTACGATTCAATTTGTTAATTTTTGTGATTTTGGTTATTTAAATAAAATTGTTTAGATATAAGAATAAATAAGTTGTATTTTGTGTGGCAAGTTTGTTTTTTTTTTAATAAAATCCGGCTTCTGATCCTAAAAGTATATAATATATATCGAACCTAAGCATAGTGTTATCCTTTCGCATTTGAAATTCTGAATAAGTAGGTACCTATATTCCTTTTTTTCAATTTGGGCATTGTATCTCAAATACTCACATAGGTACTTATCAGTTTTTTACTTAGGTCCTTTGTCAGTTAATTCAGTTTCCGAACTTTTATAGCTTCGAAACTTTGTTGCAGCCGGGCAACCATAGAAATACTTGCTCTTAAAATATATATTTTCATTTTAAAAAAGGCATTATAGGCATGAATGCATGATACATCCTTGATACACATAGGTTGAATCAAATTGATGAAATGAAAAAGTAGGTACGTCAATGCTTCAATACCATTCGAACAATGTCAGCTATGTTTAACTTACGTGTATCGTTTTCCAGGAGACAGAAGAAGATCGATGTTCATAGAAGAGCCGACTTACGTTCCTCATCCAATGTTGTATGAGCCACTTTACGGTGGGATGATACCACCAGGATACATGCCTCCACCTCCCCGAACTCGTATGTCACTCTCTCACCCCCCAGAATATGTGATGGCAGGCCTTGGATATCCGAACAGTAGGAGGCATTCCAGGTAACGTTTTTAGACATCTTTGACACTATCCTAATTTACGCACTGTACATCTCTGCGTTCAGATCACTTTTGATACTTTGATTTATTGGAAGGCACGTGTTGACTTGTTTATTTATTTACTTTCGAAAGATACTGTGTATACGTGCTCATCTCAGATTGAGAGATTAATTGTAAGATTTCCTAGAAGAAGCCAATGTATAATACTCAATCACTGACGTTTACAACCATAGTTTGTGTTTCCAAAGAAATATGTGGTCGTTATATTCTATTTCTAATTTATAGTGAACATTTCTATAAAAAGCAGATACATAGACACTCACTTTAGTACCTGCATGCTCGAGGTAGATGATTACTTAATTGCCTCTATAATTACCTATGTATATCTTGCGCTCTCGAAAGTCCAATAAAAAGAGTAAAAAACGTGGAGACTTGAGGCAAGTTCCATTCAGTGAGAAATTCAATGTAAACACTCGTATTTACATAACCTTTAGCAAGAGCGGAGTTACACGATCCTGGCATTTACCCTTGTGTACCTAACTTTATACAGCACGTGGTGTCAAAAGTGTAGCAGATATAAGTATTTAGAATTTAGTAGGTATTTAGAATTTCTGATTTAAGTGATTGCACTTCTAAATAGCAACACTAAGAGTGGTCAATTATCCACAAATTGTTGAGGATAGCATTTCTATTTAATAGTATCTAAGACAAAACTTAGATATAGGCAGAATAAATTATACCTACTTACATCACATAAAAATCTCCAAGCCTAAAAACGTAATAAATAATCTTGTTTACGAACCACCTACCTATTTATATCAAAAGTTGCACTATAGGTACGCAAATAATAATGATAGGTAGATCAACAAGAAAGATGAATAAAATATTGTAAATAGCGAATCTACTGGAAGAGTTACGCGTTATGGTCACGACATCGCATCACTCCACCCGCCAGCCACCACGACAAAACACGAAGATGTTTTCACACGAATGAGATAAATATTAGACATGCACGGGTAACATCTGTGGATTTCTACACTTGTAAGGCAAGTAATTACTACAGAGACAATAGCTAATGCTCAGGCTCTTTTACAGAAAATATCAGCATCTAATCAGTGAAATATTGGCGACTTTTATTATCAATCTTGCCAGGTATATCGATTTAACACTTACTTTAAAGTCTACTTAACATACATACGTAACCGACTAGTTTCGTTCACACGACAATTCCAATGACTCGTATGAAGAGGTTTGTTTATAAAGCAAGGTTAATTAATTTTTGTCTCATAAAAATCATGGTGAACCGTGGCTGCCACTTGCCATTTCAAATTGCATATCTGTGAATGGGAAGTTTGCGTTCCCAGCACTTAAGCGTGACTTTAGCTTCCACGGAAAGTTCACCGGCAAAAACGGTCATCGTTAGTAGAGGCAGTGTAGAGGCGAGCGATTCTGTATTATAATAACAAGCATTGTACATCCGTCGTGTGAACGCGCACCAGTTTTTTGTTTCCTACAAATGAAAGTTGCACATGTGAGAATGTACCTCAGCTCACGATAATGTTGGTAGGGAAACTTGTTCCTAACATTGACCTTAGCAGGCGTTAAATTACGTAATTACTTTGTGCATTGCAACCATAGCATTTATATGACGAATAAAGACTGATGACCTTGTCTAGTTGCTGCCAGACACAATGAGAAATTTTTGTCCGATATGGTAGAAATTGGCCGTCGTGAGTAGGTACCTACGTCTGCGATATTCGGTACCTTATGAAAACATTTTTTTTCATCCAGTCACATCAGTTTATAGTTTAGTATTCTGAACACTTCACTTTCCATATCAACCTGTGGTTTTTGTTTGCCAATACAGTTTGCATGAACCGAATCAGCAACTTGATACGATTACCGAAGATGTATTTGTATGCGTCCCATGTACGTTTCCTTATTCGCCACAACAATTAGAAATAGCAATTACGAAATTACTACTGATTGGTATCTACTGCCGAATAAAGTTGTACTAGCTGGTTAAACCAGTTGGTATCCATTAAGCTGCATAGTTTACCTTTTTAAACAACAGGCATCATAGCAATTATTCGGGTAGCACACCACTTTCTCGTCACGGATTACGTGAATGCAGCTTTGTGAGGTAAATTTAGCGGATAACTAGAAAGTCAGTCAAGCCACTCATGGTGGGCGTATTCTCCATAATGTGAATTAGCGTGAAGTGCTGTCACTAAGTAGGAAATAGTCCGATTGTTATCTAATCCGCTTTACGATCATGTATTAACACGAATCTGAGATTGCGTGTCTCTACCACTTGTTGATTTTAACATTAATCCGTGATGTCTATTCCATTATAGTAAGTCGATTGCATCGCCTGCAAAAACCGGAACAACAAGTACTTCGGTATTCTGTGTGTTATTAATCCAGTTCGTTATCTTTATGTTTATTCAAAAGTGAATAAAGCAACAAGTTGTTTGTTGTTGTCAAACCATTTATTTCAGTAATTTCTTTTTATCTACAGGATGACTGAGGCCTACGAGCAATTTGCCTACGAGAGCCTGTCTCCTGAATATGAAGACTGGGCAAGACCTTTTCCAAAGACCGCTCCTGACAATTTCCATTTATCAAGATATGGTCACCTACAGATCGACTATTCTTGTAGCTGGAACTCTCTCGACAGGCTTATTCGTAGCCAGCATCGGGGTTAATCACATAAAATCAAAAAATGATTGAAATCAGAGAACAAAAAATTAGACCGTATGCATAAATTAAGCTCATAATGCATGCATGCATGTCTAAAATGAGTGCGGTGTAAACATATCTAGTGATTGCTGTGTTTTTTGGATTTTGTTGCAGATCCATGCTCATTATTCTAAATTAAAACTGAAAATGTAGAATAGATACTAAGTATAATAGCTACGTGATAGTGTGCTCACCGTCAGACGGATGGAACGGTTTGAAAGTTTGTTCCGGATATTCTAAAAACTTCAAACGCATCCCTGCACAAGCAATGCTACTTTTAAACGAACATTCTGAATCGTATCATATAGAAGCCGTTAGAGACACGTAAACTGTAGTTTCTATGTACATAATCCACAAATGACTGTAGTTTGGACCCTTAAAGAGTTATTTTGAGTGTCCATTTATTCGGTTAGTAAATGACAACTATGTAGGTAATCTTTCCTCATTTTTATGGTTTAGAAAATATAACTTCCGCATTTTCGCTCTGTTTATAATAATCAAGATCAATTTAAGGTAGGTAGGTACTTTAGGTAACGATTTTTAATATTGTGAGAGGCTTTTTGCTTACGTAAGTTAGTTTAATTGTTTTGAAGTAAGGTGCTAAATAAATTGTTAATTTTGTTCGTCTTATGACATAATCTGAGAAACTAAATGTTAGCCAAAGATATTCGATTGTATGCTTAGGTATATCTACTTATTATGTTTAAGTTTACCTTACCTATATCTATATTTGATAAACTTCTTTTGTGCTTTAGATTAACTTTGAGGCTGAAACCAATAAGATATACTTATGTATATTTTTAATTGACGATCATGTGTTGAGTGCTTACTATCTGTAAAATATACCGACTACAATAAATGATACCAAAATTATAAATTTTCTTTTAATGGAGTATCTTAACTATATGCTCATTTACCAGTTGCGAAAGTCTTTTAAGAATCACCTTGTTATTACGTGCTTATCTGCCTCATTTAAAGAGCTACCATCGCGCTTTCTTATGGCACGAGTTGTCGTTTATGTTGTATTAAAGGCAATTTCTGTTTATTATCCTATGGTGTGGTTAACTTTCAACATTTTCATTATATCGAGAGCCTAGACCAGATAAGCTATACATCAAGCTCTCTACACTTTCACTGTGACAGCATTAAGTCTATTTCAACTGACTGTGTTTGTACTTTCCTATCTGGTGTGTGCCAAGATCTGTTGCATCTCTACTGTTTTATAATCATCTAGTACCTAATGTAATGTTCGTTATATCAGAATCGATATTCGTAGACAACCTTCCCATAAAAATTTAAGAAAATAGACGCACGTAGGTAAAGAAATCTTATGAATATGAAAGTACCTGCATAATTATGTAGGTAGGTATGTGTTATGTATGCTTGAATATTCGAATAATATGATAGATGACACTGAATCTCCGTTTCACTTAAGATTATACGGTTTTCCCTAATTATGCATAATTCTGGGTACCTACCGAACAGATTGCGTGTGTGGTTTTAGAAGGCATGTGCCTATACTAATATGTACTTACCTAAATCGTGGCGATTTGTACTTAATTACAGGGCATAAATTATTTCTAACCAAATAAAGTGGCTAATAAAGCAATTCACGCTTCAGGGGAAGTAGGTAGGATTTAAACGACGATATGTGGGTCATCTCATGATGTAACTTATGAATATGTACCACCTAGGCTTGTAGTTATTTTCATAATCGCATTCTTATTCGTTGTAACAGCTACATATCAGATAAGGCAACGACTAATTTAGAAAGAGCCATCGTTGCTAACATAATTGCTTTTTCGTTACAAATAGTTATTGTGGCGAGACTGCGTAATAAGTAAAATAATTACTGCTCATATTTTTCGTTATATAATTCTTTAAAAAACATCGATTGTAATTAATTTTAAAAGGTTTATTATTCTGTTGACTTATTGAAATCTTTTATAAGTAGGATTGTAATTTGTAATAGTAGACACTTTAAATCATTCAGCTCTGTCGTTTTCTTACGTAAATTCTTAACGGGTAGAGGTACCTACAAGGTAGGTATACGGTATACCAACCTAGAACATTTTAAAAACTAACACTGAAGGTATCATAGTTTTAGTGTCGGTTATTTACATAAGAAATTTTATTCGCTAGTTGATTAAGTACTGGTTGTTAAACAAGGTAGATAGCAAGGCAATACAAGATAGTACAAGAAAATCAGATTCAAATAGGCAAAACATGCGTTTATTACAAATTTTAGCTTGAAATCCTGTGCGAGCGATAACAAATTAAAAATCCTGAAAGTCTTTATCGTTGTAAAGTTTCCTTTTCTTGGTTATGTGAAATAGACCTTTTTTCTCAGAACTTTTTGGTTTAGGAGTTTCTGCGACGCCGACGTTCTTATCGTAATAAATTACTTGCAGACTGTTTGTTGCCTTCGGCGGCTTATTTTGCGAAGGCCCAGCGAATTTAGTCGAAGGCATATCATGTACGGGATTCGAGTCTATACTATGATAATCTGTATAGGGCTCCCTATTTGCAGAATAGGGTCTTTCAACGTGACTTTCATACTGCGAAGGGTAACTGTTCTGCAAATATTGCTTGAACTGGCTTTGTTTTAGTTTCTCCTCAAGTTCTTCCAGTCGCTAAAACGTTGTTTATGTAAGTGAAAGTGCTTGTAATATGTTATTGCTAACATTAAACGTTGAGATGATATATTTACGTGCCGTTTTAATGGTCAACGACGGAACTTGACGGAAGCTAATGATGTGTACCTATATCATTATTTTACTATGAGCTAAAACCAGTGCAAGTATTATGAAGTATGTTATAAACGTATGTTGCTTAAGTGTAGGGGAACGCCGGAAGCTACCGGCATCTCCTCTCACTTGATGCTCGTTTAATTTAGATAAATTGATCGAACACTGAGGATGAGGAAGTAGGAAATGTTCATAATGATAAGTTTGAAAAGGTAAGGAAGTGTATCTAGTGTGTAGGTATAAGTTTTATGATTTCTGATTGATGACATCGGAATTAAAAATGAGTATCGACGCGGTAATTGAACGTTTCGCTTTCATTATCTACATTTTAATGACCGCTAAGTGACTAAGAAATTTAAGGTAGGTATACAAATAATTTAAGGTAGGCATACAACAATTTAAAATGCAGAATAATTTTAGACCTTTTTTGCCAAGTTAAAACTGGTTACTCAACGTCTACCAAAGTTTCGACCGTGATCAAACCTTTTTTTTTGTGGGAAAAAATCATGGTAAAATGTCTTCTCTCGCCTTAATTGGGACGAGAGGGAGTCTCAGACTCTTACTACCTAAAAACCACCCCGTTCCTGTTCCAGGTTGAGGCCCCGGTATATTGCGTTTGATCCGCAACTCCGGCTGGGCTATTAAACCTTAGTTACTAATATAAATGAGTAGGTACCCACTTAGGATTATTTCTAGAATAATCTTGATCACACTGGAAAACTTATTACTACTAAACTAAACTTATTAATACTAAAGGGAAATCAAATCTTACCCGTCTATAAGCATCAATGTTAAGGTCCGTCCTTGCTGTCTCCCGAGCTAACTCCTCTTGAAGCTGCACCACACGAGCTGATTCTCGTTGTATCTTCTCTTCATATTCCAATACTAGGACATTGATCTACAAAATTTTTCGCAAAATAAAGTCAATATCAAAATCATTTGTTTCAATTAATTAGTCCCTCAGGCACTCTTGAACATCAAACAAAGCATACCTAAAGATGAAAAGTAGTAATCGACGGACGACGACGATTCGAAGAACGAGCAAATATCTAAGAGGACTGACCAAGTCCTCTTAGATATTTGCTCGTTCAAAAGTCTCGATTCCGATGGAGAAAAACGAGCGAGAAACATTTTCGCATACATGAACAGATTCTTCGTTAGATACATTAATAAGTTGGTTCCATTGTGTGAGACCACTATATTGGTAGGTATTTATTCAAAGTAAGTAACGGAAAAATAATATAACCTAAAGGACAATAGATAGTCTGGAGCTGAGCAGTTGCAATTATCGCCGCCCGTTCACGGACATGACACGTAGGTACACCTAGGTACACCAGCATCACCTAATATCCTCTTTGGCTCAACTTAACCATATAAACTCATTTAATTATGAAATCTCTGTTTGTATATCCTGCGAATCGCTGTAAAATTGGTAATATACGTAGTAGGTATTATATCTTAACACGAGAGTCAATCCCAGTGCCAAGTTTAACGTACCTACCTACGTACGTTCTTCATTGCAATAAGTTATCCAATATTTTACTAGCTCATTGATAAGTAGGTATAATGAATGAGTAGGTGTAATCTGCGAAGTAATTTGGCATCCAAGTTTTTACCTGGTGTGAAATTACTTGGCTATAAATTACATACCTAAAATAAAGCAATTTTAATTTTTTTGATGATAAAGATTACCTGATTTTGGTATTTAAACCAAGTTTTATTATAAACTAGGAATCGGGTATCCAACTATTTCCCCGGTTGCTTTCCTAATTTTACCTTCTGCATTTTAAAAATTTTCATAGTAAAAAAATAATATGGGCCTCTAGCATGGCTTGAAACTAGTCGAGCATCTCGTCAAATTATTACGCGAGTAAGCCGAAAATATTATAAATAATTTAGAATGTCTCACGAAAGTTATAATAAAAATAAAAAAATAATTCGCAAAATTTGTTGAGTTATACATATACGCTTGCCCAAACATTTTGCGATTCATTTACTTATAGGTACATATCTATGTATACAAATATTCCTTCATTGTATTATTACACTACCAAGATAGAGACTTACCTTTTCGCGATGGTCAGCTTCCATTTCTCGCATCTTGGCTCTCAGCTCTTCGATAGCACATGTGAACTGGGCCACCTGAGCGTCGCATTCATTTTGAATCTGTTGAACTAAGTATTACACATTACATTTCTAGTTCTTTACATTTACCTTTGAGTAAAGCGTTTTTCGATGTCACATGATTTTTTTTATATAATAGGTCGGCAAACGAGCTGACGGATTACCTGATGGTAAGTAATCAGCGCCGTCCATGGACACCCGCAACGGAGGAGTTACGAGTGCGTTGCTGACCTTATAGGGATTGAGGGATTGGGGGAGGAGAAGGATTGGGCCTCCGGTAACCAACCGGTAAGCAATCGGTGTCTTTCGTGCATGTCCGAACCAGCTTTTTGTTTGTTGGTGTTTTGAAGATTAGTGGTTAGGGGATAGGATATGATGGGGCATTGTGGATTGGGGAGGAGGATAGGTAACATCAGTAACACACACAGGAAACCAAAATGCCACCGTTAGGTGTGTTAATTGTTATGTCAATAATAATTTGCCCGGGTTTGTTGCTTCATGGCCTGTAACCTCCATTTATAGCCGTTAGCATTTATGGGCATTAAGGGTATTCCTGCCAGTCCCCAGGGAACAACTGAGATATTCCATTTTTAAAAGGTAAATTAGGTAATTCTTGTAGGGTAGATTTAATAAGATGAGGTCTAGAATTAAGCTCAGTGTCTGGCGATAAACACTCGCCAATGTAATAGATTGAGGCATTTTGTTAAAATCTTTAGGTAAAAACGTTACCAACTTTCCCTTTTATTATCAGACTTCATCTCTTCAATTTGCTTCTCATAGGCACTTCGCAGTTTCATTATATTGTCATTCTGTTTCTGTATGACATTCTCTTTGTCCTGCAAATTACAGCCAGTACTTAAAATAAGTACTTCGAGTAAAATTGGCACAAAAGTACCATCACAACATGTCATTAATATGCAATCAAAAATTATTTATTTGTATGGCGATTTTTATGTATCACACAAAGAGTTGTTCAAACCCACGACACGTTGCGTTGCGCGGCAGCCAGTTGCCCAGACCGCTGTAACCGTACATTCAAACACATCAAGTCAATAACGTTTACGTTCCTAGAGCTCATAATATGGTACTTAGGTACATTAGGTATGTACAGTATGTACAGACAGGACCTACAGGACTACCTACCTATTAACTGCTATTCAATATGGTTAATGTATAGGTAACAAACCTTTTCGACATCAGCAATATTACTTTCTTTAACAGATAACTGTTCCTTCAACTTTTTTACGTCCCTTTTGAGATAAACTAGTTGTGAAACGGTTTCCTGAAGGTTCCCTATCATTTCCCGTGACGTCAATATGTGATAGCGATGAGATTTCTCCATTTCTCGGACCTCTTTTAATTCGATTTCCAACTTCGAATTAGCTTCTCGTAATTTTCTACACTCTTCATTTTCATTGGTGAAATCCTGTTTACGTAAAATCATCATCGATCAATATTTAATTTTATGTGTACCAACCTGCTTATCTAATTAATTTTTTTGCACGTTTTATTTTTTGCCTATTTATGTACTAAGAGTAGGTGTAAAGGACAAAATATATAAAAACATTTAATTTATAAGTGCCTAGATACCTAAGAACTTCTTTCTATAAATCTATTAGGTAGTAAGAAAAGTAATTCAGATACTTACACATCACAGTGGGTAATAAACTCACATCAATCAAAAAACAAAGCTCCTAATAGTTCTGTAGTAAAAATATCGTTAGGTACCTATCTATCTAGCTACCAAACTGCAAAGCTGCAAAACTTTGGCCCATCTACAAAACAGTTAAGTATTTCACGTAGTTTCCCTGGTGCAAAGTGATGAGTTAAATACGGAGCAGGTACTAGCAACCAGTGCCTAAATAACGAGCTAGTGAATAAGGCAAGTAGTAAGGACAAATTGCTTACAATTTTGCATCTGGATAAACTGTTTAAAATATTCTGCAATCGACCATCTAGCACAATATTTTCTTCCTCCGGCTTAGAGGCCATTCCATGCAATATTTCATATATTATTATTATTTTTATCTATTTTTTGGTTCTCCGATTAAACGTTCGGTTAATTTTCTATCAACTACAAATTGTTTAAGTACGTAAACAACATAGGTAATGAATTAATCGTCATTTCCCGATTTCCCGCTACAATGTGAAGCCTTTTTCTTTTTTAATATAAAATCATAAGGAATCATTTTGAGCCTGACTTCATAAATCTATTAATATTTTTTTAAAATAAAATACTAATAATCGCACTGCAACATACTTTGGGTTTAATTAATAATTCGAATGTTGAATGAAAAAAAGAAATGTTTCTGAAATGAGTATTGAATTACTAATATTTATTAACTAACTTTACCATTTTGAGTTACCTGTGTTTGTGTGTTGTGCGTGGTTTTGTGTGTTTGTAAGAAACGAGTGATCTGTGAAGTTGGATGTAATTACTTCTGGTAGATCCTGTTTAGACGTAGGTACAAAGAGTAGGCTACCCAAATAAATGTGTAATCTATGGTTATGACTAATTGTCAATGTCAATGTCAATTGGTTGTCATTTTCATTTGACATTCCTAGAAATGTGCGGCCTGTGTGGTTTTAGTGTAGGTTATGATACATTTTGTTAGTTTTCTTCTAATTTATTTGAAATAGCATAAACTCATCTGTGATAATAAAAAGAACTTAATTTGAATTAAAGTGTATTTTGTAGAGATATTAAAATCTGTGAAATATGGCTGCAGCATACGGAATACATTTAGGAAACAGTTCGGCTGCTTTGGCTTCATTTTCTAACGGAGCGCCCTTAATTATTGCTAATGATGCTGGAGATAGAGTGACACCTGCAATTGTTGCCCTGAATGGCACTGAATGGGAGATAGGATTGCCTGCAAAATCTGGACAGCCCTCGTCTAAATCGATCATAAAAAACAACAAACGCCTCATGAACAACGACTTTAACGCTGACGATCTCGCATACGTTGAATCATCCTCATCATGCCGCATCCAAAACGAAGACAAAGTTGTGTACGAGTTTGAAACTAGTGAAACTACTCTATATTCTAACCCAGATAACATTGCTACTAAAATTTACGCTAAATTGTTTACTATTGCCAGCCATGCTATGAGTAACGAAGGAGACTTGAAATTAGTATTAGCTGCACCATTGCACTGGTCTTCTGAAAGCACAGAAAGGCTTGTAAAGTGTGCTGAACTGGCTGGTTTTAATGTTCTACAAGTAATAAGCGAACCAGCAGCGGCTCTACTTGCTTATAACATAGAAGAATCTGTGGAAGATGTTAATGTTTTAGTCTACAGACTGGGTGGATCTTCATGTGATGTTTCTATAGTGAAGGTGTCCGGAGGTTTCATGACAGTAGAGAAAAATATCTACCGGTCAGATTTAGGTGGCCAGTGTCTCACAAAAGATTTGGCTGTGTACATTGCACAGGAGTTCAGACAAAAATGGAAGTTAGACCCCCAAGAAAGTAGAAGAGCCATGGCAAAGTTGCTAATTCATGCTGATAATTGTAAACATGTCCTATCAACCCTTAACTCAGCACATGTGTTTATTGAGTCACTCTTAGATGGTGTGGATTGGAGCCAAAATGTATCACGAGCCAGATTTGAAAATGTAATTTCATCAAAGATAAATGCATACATGGAACCAGCTCAGCAAGTAATTGAAAGCTTTAATGGAACAATCCATAAAATTGTTATTTGTGGTGGAAGTATGAAAATTCCAAAGCTTCAGTCTGCGATTGCCAATTTGGTACCTGAAGCAGAAGTACTTTCAGGGATTAGTCCAGATGAGGTTATTGCTGCAGGCTGTGCTCGTGAGGCTGGCTTGCTGTCAGAAATCCCTGAATTTTCTCTAAATGACTTGAATACAGAAGTTGAATTCTTAGGAAAAGACATCTATCTAAAATATTTAGATCAAACAGTCCAGCTATTCAAAGAAGGAACACCACCTTATGCACAGTTTGTTCAAAATATTGATGCTGGAGGTGAAACTAAAATCAGTTTTTCTTTGCATGAAGATCCTGAAAGCAAAGAGTTTGCTACAGAAACTTTTGATGTAGAAAGTTTAAATAAACCATTTACATTAAAAGCTACATTACAGCAGTCTAATGTATTATTACAGGTTGAATGAGATATTGTAAATGGAATAATAAAAGAACTTTTTAAATAAGTACATTTTTTTATTGTTTTAACTCAGATTTAGTTACTCGCCATTTATTATCATAAGGCAAAGGCTTGTGTAAGTTTAATGGGATTTTTTGTCAGGGGAAAATCCAGGGAACAGACTGTTCGTGGGAAAATCATCAAATGTTTTCTCCCGCCCAGGGTAAGGCGAGAGAGAATGTCTGACTACTAAAAACCCCCATTCCTTTAACTGGGCTGCAATTCCACTAATTCATGCTATATTATTGAGAATTTATGAAAAAATTATAAGCATGAAATAGGGACCTAAATATGTGAAGTAAAAAGCTATTTCTTAATATATATGTAAGTAGTACAAAACCATAAATATATTCCAAATAATCATACACAAAGTTACCTAGGTAATTTTTAAATGAATAATTATTGGATAATGGAGCTGGGTGTTCCAAAATTTTGTATAAATGGAGAAACTCCCATTGTTACTTTTTTAAAACAACAAAACACAAGCATTGCCCTCGACTAGAAATCATGAAACAAAGAACAGGCAGAGTCATCCATATAATTTAATTTTGAAACTGACTAGGTTGACTTGTGCCTGTGGTCAAGTGTAGGCTTTCGTGAGGTCGAATAAACGAATTTTTCTATGATGTTTCGATACCTGGGCAAGCAAAGTACTATCCGGGTTTCGATTACACAAAATTCAATGACTACTAGTTATAATTAAAATCGCATTAGTAAGCTCTGCAGTGACTTAGTTTCTTGGGTTTCATTATTTGCCGGAGCCGAAAGGCATTTTGTTTTGCTGTGGTCCCATCTCCAATGTGGGCGTGAAGGTGCGGGAAGCAACTTCGTCCGCAGCTCTCACACGTGTTGGTTTGTCACAATAGATACCACCTCAAGATGCACGGTGAGTGAAAAGTGGATCTGTCTCGTGCCTCGTTTCGAGACGGGCGTGGACTCAATGCGCGCTACCGTCCCGGATCTTGACGACCGATAGCCGGTGCGTCTGCTGAGGGTGGGAAGGAGATTCGTAATCTCCGTTTCTCATACCGTAGCCTCCTTCTGCAACAATACACCTTCATTTATGGACATCCCCGCGTCCCACGATTCGGCACTTTCGAACATTTTAATAAACAGTCGGCAGCGCCAGACCTCTCCTATATCTGAAATTAGCACACGATGTAGTATGTAGGTCATCCCACGTTGCACACTCCACAAGCGTGTGCCATGCCGTATCCTTTTTACAACAGGTGCACTTATGGCACCGAGCGTCTTGCGTTGAGATACAGGTACTTTCCGAAGTACCTATCCATGCCTAGAAAGCAGCTGCAAAACACAAAACGACAGAGTAATATGGTAGCCTAGAATAATTAAATCTTTAAATAGCCATACACATTTGAATTTACCTACTTTATTGTGTATCCGAATGCTTAACTTTTTTATAAAATACGTCATTGTCAAAAACATACCAAGTGTCAATCTAATCTGTATTCTGTCAACAACAATATTTATTTTGAAATTCCCAGAGTAAAAGTTAAGAAGTTTTTCAGGTTTTCTAGTAAATATAAACGATTATTTGGTGGAACAATATGCAAGTGTTGATTACAGTGATTATTTTAGCTGTAATACATTATATAAATCTAGTAGGTTCCATTAAAACTAGCTTTATTCGTCAACATTTAGGATCACGCACACCGTACAGGTTTCGAGCAAATAAAAATGATTCAAGAATAAAATACCCCAGTAAGTAGATTCCAATTTAATATTTCTATGTGCATTATTGGGCATTGCAAACACTGAGTTGTAGTGAATTTAAAATTTTTACCAGGGTATAAGCACTGTACTTACATAAGTAGTACAGTCAGCTCCAAAAGTCGATGAACAGAATCAACTTTCCAAAACACCTGTTCACAATAAAATGCCATAAGTTATAGTCACAACTAGGAAACAAAATAGCCTGTACATCAGAAATTTACAAAAGTCGTTAAACACGACTAATTCAGAAGTATCTGTGCACTATAGTATTCCTAAAGTCGCTGTACACCATCAATCCAAATGTCGCTGAACATCATTGTATCAAAAGTCAGTAAACAGCAGAAAAGTCAAAATTAGGTTAACAAAGTATATTTTTAATGTTGCACTGTGTTAATATAATTTTAACGCTTATGTTGTTCGCTTATCTTTTGGGACAGTGTATCTTTTTCAATACTTATTTAAAAATTAATCATATGTTTAACCGACTTTAAAAAAAAGGTGGAGGTTCTCAATTCGTCGGGATTTTTTTTTGATGTTAACCGATTACTTAAGGCTCCTAGACCGATTTGGATTTTTTTTTTTTTTTTGTTCAGTAGGGTATGATTTCCAGGTTGTCCCATGTTCACCAGGTCAAGATCTGATGATGGAAACCCAGAAAAATCGAGTGGAAATTTAAAATTTTATAGTGACAGTCGGCATGATTCGTATATTTTCTGAAGTTATTCAGGTATTTACGTCAACTTGTCGATGGTTGAACTCGACTTGATGATGATGAAACCGAAAGACAGTCGAGGGATTTCCTTGACTATTTGGAGTAATTGCCTTGTGTTTGGGCTTGAATAATTCTTCTTGGTGAGCACTTTGCACCAAGACTGGTAGTGACTGTCACTAGGGGTCTGATGATGACAACGAAGGACAGCTCAGGGAACGCCTGGACGGTTTCCAGTAACTACCTCGTGTTTGGAATTAATTCATTTATATCAATAAATACTTCGCACCTACATAAGTTACAATGAAGTTATGCAGTAAATCTGATGATGGAGCCGGAAGACCGTAGAGGGATCTCTTTGACTATTTGGAGTAATTATTTTGTGTTTGGGCTGGAATGATTCGTATTGGTGAGCACTTTGCACCTATATAGATTATGTAACTATGTTGAAGGTCTACAGTATACATAATGATGGAGACCATTGATAGTCGAGGGCATTCCTCAACAATTTACAGAACTGAACACTAAGGACTACAACTATTACCGTGATTTTCGGTCTCAAGTAGCCGTCGTCTTCTCATTCGAAACGCATTATCCTTGCTTGCTCTGCATATCACTTAAAATGGTGAAATAAAATAATTTTTAACAAAAAAATTAATTTTCTGTGTACAAAGTAATACATGTTTTCATTTAGGTAAATAGAAAATAATATTAATAACTATTTTTATAATCTCGAAGTCGGTGCCAATTAAGTGCCAGGTACCAAGTAAAACAATGATGATTGCTAGGTACCGATCAATACACTTTTCTAATACTGTTGTTGTTTGGTATGTAGCATTTACTTAGCACCTACTGCGAGATTATAAAAATAGTTATTATTATTATTTTCTATTTACCTAAATGAAAAAAAAACAAACGACTTCAAAAAGTAAACACAAACATAAAAAATAAATTTTCTGTGTACAAAGTTGTCTACTTCGTAGATTGTTAGAGTGATGTTTATGTTATTGCATTTTATATATTAGTATGATTACTGACAATATGAATTAAGTTCAAACACGAAGTAGTTACTATAATCCGTTCAGGAGTTCCCTGTCCTTCGTTCTCATCATCAGACACTTAATGACAGTTACGACCCAGCCTGGTGCAAAGTGCCAATACGAATCATTCAAGCTCAAACACAAGGCAACTACTCCAAATAGTCAAGGAGATCCCTCGACGGTCTTCCAGCTCCAACATCAGGTCGACTTGGACCTTCGTCAAGTTATAGTGTTGTAAAAGACCTACTTAAACATCATACAAAAGAACTACTCGCCCCTGCAATTATTGAAAGTTCCCCTCGATTTCTCCAGAATTCCATCATCAGATTCTGACCTCATGACAATGGGACCAAATGGCAGGTAAACCCTATCAAATAAAAAAAGCCGGCCTTAGTCGAGGCCATGGTGCGGAGTGAGAAGAACTGGGACGCCGTCTCCTCCTTTTGTGAAGCAGTCATGCTCGCAAAGAGAGAGGCGGCCCGCGTGAGAGAGCAATCCTCCTCCTCACGCCCCAGCAGCCGCAACTGGCGACACTACGGGCGTCGGGGATCGAGGGACGATCTCCGGCCACCGTAAGCACGGGCCTGCGGTCGGCGAGTAAGGGCAGCTCGCCGCCCGACCAGAACCAGGCCCGAGCGTACGGCGCGTAGCGTTCCGCGCGCGCCTCAAAGAGCCATTCGACCACCACAGACGGGGCCCTAAAGGGCTGATGTTCAGCCGGGGTTGCGGGGTAAGCGCAATGAGGTACCGCGACCTCGGCACAGAGCAGGAGAAGGAACAGGGGGGTTTTTAGTCAGTAAGAGTCTGACTCTCCCTCCTGCCCGGCCCTGGGCGGGAGAAGACATTTGATGATTTTTCCCTCACAAAAAACTCCTTTTTTGAAGTCGGTTAAAAATATAATTGATGTGTAAATAAGTATTGAAATGGATACTTACGTGCATACATTATTTAGGTCTAGCGAGCACTGTTCCAAAAGTTGCTGAACAACATAAGCGTCAAAATTATATTAACACAGTGCAACATTAAAAATATACTTTGTTAACCTAATTTTGACTTTTCTGCTGTTTACTGACTTTTGATACAATGATGTTCAGCGACATTTGGATTGATGGTGTACAGCGACTTTAGGAATACTATAGTGCACAGATACTTCTGAATTAGTCGTGTTTAACGACTTTTGTAAATTTCTGATGTACAGGCTATTTTGTTTCCTAGTTGTGACTATAAGTTATGGCATTTTATTGTGAACAGGTGTTTTGGAAAGTTGATTCTGTTCATCGACTTTTGGAGCTGACTGTACCTAGGTCTATTATAATGTATGTTTGGTACAAAGTAATAAGAAATTTGATATAATGTTGTTATAATAAGTTGTGTTGATATAATAAGAAAACTTTGGGTGCATTTTCTTATCAGTTACTTCCACTTCTTGAAAATAACATTTATTCGTAGAATCCTAACACTTTTCTGCGTATATATTTTCAGGTTGCAAAGATTCAAAAATATGGATGGTTATTCGTCATGGCACCAGGCTGCCAAGCCGAAAAGATTTAGATGCTGTTGCAAAGCTAGTTGATTTAAAGTATGAAGTTTTATTGCAACATGAGTATGGAAAAGGTTTGTATGTTTGATTTTATAAGTATACATTTAAAAAGAATAATATTAGGTTGCAAGTAAAGAGTTATAAAAATCATGATAGTTTTTATAGCTTGCATAGCTATAAAAAAATTTAAAACTCTTGTAATTTGTGGTGGACAGACATGTGTCCATTAATAAAGCTGTTGGTCCAAATTAAACACAATAATATGTACTTATTCTTGAATATTAGTCAAAAACAATACTAATTAAAATGAACACTACTATTATTAAATAATGAGTCTTGGAGACATTTATAGTAGGTAATTATTTATAGCTTTAACAGAAGTATACACTTGTTACATTGTGCTTACCAAAAATAATTATTTATTATTTATCTATATTGAGGAACTGAGGTGATAAGAAAATAAAATATTGTAATTTTTGAACTAACATTTAGAATACTTGTTTGCGATTTTGTATGGTATTAATTTACAATTTATATAAAACAGAGGCTCTTTTTAATTTAGAGATTGTAATTAGAGGTGGTTCTTGCTTACCCATTCTTTTAGCGAAAAGTAAAGCTTAAAATAAAGCATGTTTCCATTAAAAAAAAAAAAAAAAAAAGCATATATACGGTTGAATTGAGAACCTCCTCCTTTTTTTGGAAGTTGGTTAAAAAAAAAACTAAAACTTTGTTTTTATTTAGGTACTTTATAGCTATTCATGTGAAGGCAGCTAGGTCCATCTTCTTCTATATTATATTTTTACACATCAGCCACTTCAATTCTGATCTTTCTTATTCCAGGTCAATTAACCAATGAACAAATAAATCGCCTACAAGACTGGAAAGTAGATATTGATCCAGACCAAGATAGTTACCTGACATTAGAAGGTCAAGATGAAATGATATTAATGGCTGAGAGAATGCAGAAGAGATTCCCAAATGCCATTAAACAGAAGTATAGTAATAAGACATTTTTAGTAAGTTTACATTTTTGTTATATTATTTTCTGACTTACATGGTTAAGTTAAAGGTATCTCCAGACACATCTGTTATTGTTGATGATATCAAAAACCTTTACGCCAAATCTTTTTATGGCATCCATGGTCACTCGTAATGCTAAAGAAGTAACTACAAGTGCGGTGTAAGCGTCATGTGGGATTTCAGGATTGAGGATGAGGGAATGGGGGAAGGATTGGGCCTCCGGTAATCTCATTTCACGGCGCAACACATCGTAAGAGTTGTTTCACGCCGGTATTCTGTGAGACCGTGGTATCACTTCGGTGGAGCCAGCCCATTCCAATGTGAATACTTTATTCACATTGGATTCTACAGCCCCTCCCTATTAACTATTTATTGTATGGCAGGTGCATAGCCACCAAAAAAGCTACATATTTAAAAATAGAAAAACATAATTGCATTTAAAACTTTTCTCATAATAAACTTTTTTATTCCAGTTCCGCTACACAGCAACACAACGCGCGCAGCAGAGTGCAAGATACTTCACGAATGGCTTGTTTGAAAAGAAAGACGCTCAAGATATTATATTTGCACCTGCGACGCGAGTCGATCCAGTTTTAAGGGTAATTACTTCAGTTAAATTATAATTTCTTTTTTTTGGAATTCTAAGTGGTCTGTCAACATTTTCTGACTACCTTCCGAATTTATAATTTATATCATAATGAATTGTTATTTTCTAGTACATTTTGTTATGACTGAATGAGTGTAAGGTAGTTATTAGTGAATTACTATTTTTTATCCTTAAAAATCTAAGCTTCACTCTTCAATAAGTTGCAATTTTTCAGTTTTACAAACACTGTGACAGGTGGTTATCGCAAGTAAAGAGAAATCCTGAGACTTACAAGGAAACTAGACAGTTTGGTCATAGTCGTGAAATGAACAAGACACTGGAGTCCGTGTCTTATAGACTGGGCCTCAGTAAAGTACTTAAATTGGGTTCGTAACACAATCAATGTGCTGTAACGCTGGAACTTGCTTTGCTTTCGCTACATTGTCACATTTTCTTTCTTCATGCTATAATCACTGTTGTTTTTACTTCTCTAGGGATCATATTTACTTATCACCTATTTGATTTCGTTGTTTAGCTTGTTTTGTTATGGTAGATGTTAATGCTTATTAAATATTGTATTTAAGTAAGTAGATATTAGGTATTATCTATAGCATATAGTATCGTCCGCACCCCCAAATGACTTGGGGAACCTGAATAGAAAGTGTCACTAAGTTAAAACCTCTCAACCTTACACCACTCAAGTCAAAAACGATGAAAACTGCTGAACTGATTCTATTGAAACTCTGTTTTCACTAAACATGCTTGCATGTACAAAACATTGTACGGGAAACAGAAATCTGTAGAGCAGTTTCTATTCTTTCAAACTTTATAAGTAGGTACAGTCAGTTTCAAATTTGTTTTTTTGACAGTCCCATCTTTTAATCTTTTCAGCATACTGTTACCGTCTCATATCATACCAGAGATATCAGATCAGCGTCCACCGTCTCACGATTATGGAGTTTTTTTGCTCGTTATGGAGTTTATAGCTCGTCCTTCTCCATTTGAATCTACACTTTGGAACTAGCACCTAGCTTCACTGACTAACAGGCTGGCAGACTATTATTCTATTGTAATGTTGAAAAGAACTTGTTTATGGTTTAGTTGAATCAAATGATTTTGACTTTGAAAGCCTGGAATTGACTAAGTATACTAATATAGCTGAAAATACCAATTCAAATTCCATTTCCAGACAAAAATTCTATTACCAATACCTTAAGTAGGATAGTTATAAAACCAATAAAGATACTGCGCCTTATGTGTATCCTACTAAGGCGGGTTTACTCTAGCACCTCCGAAAGTGATCTATGAGTGCGGTGGAGGAACATTGGTTTTTGCGCATTATATACTTATATATATTTTGTGTGGACCTCCGATACCTGTAACCTTTTTTAGGCCTTACTTTGCAAGTTTTATCTGGGGCGTGGTAAAACGATACTTTTTATTATTAAATGTGGACCTGATATCCATATCAATCTGTTTACTCCTCTCTAAATTGTTACTTAATGAGTTTGAGCATTTAGTGCATGGACTTGTATTGATTCGCATCCTATATTGTACTTTTAGCAATTTTTTAAGATAGTGTTATCATTGTAGATCTTGTGTAAGAAACAGTGTTACTTTTATTTTTTATTTTGTACAAATAATTAGATACAGGTTGTACTTTATCAGATAAAATAAGCAGACACTAGGTACTGCCTCTCTGGACGGTCACGTCAGATGGTTTGTCTGCTTTTTCCAGACTTCAGACGATATAATCTAGTTTTTTTTATTTTTAAGGGTAGTAAATCGTTAAATTTATTGTCTTCTCTCGCCCAGGGTAAGGCTAGATACAATATCAGATTCTTACTGACTAAAAACCACCACGTACCTTCTCCTGCTCCAGGCCGCGGCCGCGGTACCTTTAATTGCGCTTGCCCTATAGCCCAGACGATATAAATTAGATAAAGTATTGTTTTCTCATCAACCAATGGCATTGATCTTAACTGATCACCTTAATTATTCATTATCACATTATGACTTAAAATAATTGGGAAGGTCTGTGTTCAGCTGAGGACATCTTATGGCTGACACGATGATAAAAGTAATGACGATTACCTATTACTTATCTTAGCAATCATTAAAAGCTTCCAAAAATTAACATATTCTTCTACTACCTTCGAATAACTTTCTACCTTTACTAAGAGTGAACGTTGGTTTACTAATTTGCGTGGTTTTTATAATGTAAGTACATATTTATATATGTAACCTATTAATATGTGTATTTATTTATAGAAACTGTGGAGTTAATGTACAAGTTCTGTGGCTACGAAACGTCATGGGACAAGCATCACATATCACCGTGGTGTTACGCCTTCGATGAGGATAGTATACAGGTAAGCATCTACTGTGACCGTATTTTCTTTGGTCTAAAATAAATCATTTCAACTTTTCAATACATAGAACAAAATATTCAAAAAAAATCGTATTTTATTAATTGATTTGACGATATACCTACATACTTTTTATATTTATATTTTTGAGATTTTTACGCTGTTCGGCTCAAAAATATGATGACTTCACAAGTCTGTATCTCAAACAAAATCCATAGAAAAGGAGTGTTTAAAATTTCGATAAAAGTATTGAAGTTAACTCCAATAGCGTATTGGTGCTGGCTCCTAACAGGTGTATCCAGAGATATTTAATCCGAGACTCTTAACTGAGAAGACTCCTATACATTTAGAACTTGATAGCAGCTGGAGTTGTTGCAGAATGAAATGACGCCTGGCTCCGAATAGGAGATAGAATAGGCAGGTTTTTAGTCAGAAAGAGCCTGGCAATGAGAAAATGAACTTTCATAAGTAAAATAGAAAAAATAGTGAGTAATATTAAACCAGTGCTGATAATAACACAAACAACAAAAACATCGTGACGAAACCTGGACTTATGATTTCTAATTACTTATACCATTGTATTTTGCCCATTGTACACCCTGTGGTTGTTAGCCTGCTCTTTGTGTTAAATTTTAATGTTGTGTACAATAAACAATATATAATTAAATAAATATATGTTTGAATCCGCCTTGAGCAAGCGTGGTGATCAATGGTCAAACCTTTTTCGTGTGAGAAGAGGCTTTTGCTCAGTAGTGGGCACGTATAGGGTGATAATGTGATGATAACACAAATCAAATATCTATTCGTTGAATCAAACTAAACGAATACATCTCAACCAGCAATATCGGTATTTGCGTCTCTATTTCTTAAACAATAGAAGCTATAATCGTAGTGACTCATGTTATGATTCGAATTTTAAAGGGTTTTTGTATTTTCAGATGTTTGAGTACTATCACGATCTGAAAGCGTATTGGCTAGATGGTTACGGACACGAGCTATCGTATCGCCAAGCCTGCATGTCTATAAAGAACATGTTCGAGTTTTTTGAGTAAGTCTTCTGAAATTGTTGCTTTTTTATATACATCTTACCTACAAAGAATACCTTTAAGGTTTTTAAAAGGCTATTGTTTTGTTTTATATCTTGGTCGCCTTTTGGTACTTACGTATTTCAAGCTAAACTTTGATGACCACGTCCATATTGTTTGAGCAATCACTTACCCCTCGATGATCTGATATATTCTTGTATCTTTATACGTTTAATTTGTATCAAAACCTATTTAATCGTATGCCAGCGTTTAACGAACACCCCAGGTTATAGAAGTACTGGTCAATCGTCATATTACGTTGCTATGTTTTTTTTAATGTTATGGGTCGGCAAACGAGCGTACGGATTACCTGGTGGTAAGCAATCAGCGCCGCCCATGGGCATGCAGCGGAGGAGTTACGAGTGCGTTGGCGACCTTTTAGGGATAAGGGTTTTGGAGGTTTTGGATTGGGGAGGTATCGGGGGAGGGGAAATTTTTGGCCTCCGATAACCTTACTCATACGGCGAAACACAACGCTGTGGTTGTTTCACGCCGGTTTTCTGTGAGGCCATGGTATCACTCCGGTCGAGCCAACCCATTCGTGCCGAAGCTTGGCTCTCCCACGATTGATTTTTTTCAAATCATAATTTTATTCCACAGCAAAGCTGACGGGTACCAGTCAATCTTCATGTTCAGTCACTCTGGTACCATTCTGAAGATCTTGACGCATATGAAGCTCTACCAACCAGCGTCTCCACTCCGAGGGGACGCTATTGTCAAGGATAGACCATGGAAACTCTCCGAGATTGACTGCTTCGCCGCTAATTTAGCATTTGTGCTGTTCAAGTAAGTTTAATTATGGTATTGAATATAAAAAAGTTTTGAGTGTAATTCCTCTAACACACAGTAGAATGGGAGATATTCCAGAAGAATATTTTTTTAGGTGACATGTCGGCAAACGAGCAAATGGATCACCTGATGGAAAGCAATCAGCGCTGCTCATGGACACCCGTAACTACGGAGAAGATACGAATGCGTTCGTTACCTCCCCAATCCCTAAATCTCCAAACCCTAATCCCTAAAAGGTCGCCAACGCACTCGTAACTCCTCCGTTGCGGGTGTCCATGGGCGGCGCTGATTGCTTATCATCAGGTAATCCATATGCGCGTTAGCCAACCTTTTACATAAAAAAAACCTATTTCTACCAAACGTCTCAGTACTAAATGAGGTGACCTACAGTGAATAATGTAAACAAACCATAGATATTGATTAGTTAAATAGAAATAGGTAACTATATATTAAAAACAACAAGGTTTCAAAGAAATTCAGATTAATTGGCACTTTACCACGCTAATTTAGGCAACAAGTCGTATAAATCACCCGTAAAATGGGACCACCTGCCTGGTCAATGTTTTGTTACGAAGTATATTAACTGTTACTGTTGTTCAGAACAAATAGGTTAATATATCGTTTTACTATTTCATTGTAAATTGAAGAAATAGAACGGTGACGTAATTTATTGCTTGTTTAACAAGTACGTTTTTGTAATGGCATTAGCAGTTTTTAGACTGTCTTACTCCCGGTTTCCGAAAGGCCGATCAATGTTCAAATCAATTTAATCTCTTGTCAAGTCATCTGATGGGTTGACTGAATTATCAACAACCAATCAGATAACTTGACAAGAGATTTAACAGGAGATTAGTTAAATTTAGCGTTGACAAGCCTTTCAGAAACCGGGCGTTATTGTTAAAACAGTTGCCCCAACTAGGTGGGGCTGAAGCGCGATATGTATTTCTAATTTTGAAAGTCGGGTGTATATCAGTAGGTTCTGCTTCCCTTTTTCACTATCAGGCGATTTATGTTTGGTAGAATCAAGGTAGAAACACATTATTGAAACGCCACGCTACACAACGTGTCGTCACCCCATGAGCACTGTGCACATTACCAACACGTGATGCCACGACACGCTCGCAATTTTTTAATTCAGTCTATGTGCGGCGGTGAACATGTATAGTCGTGTACTATGGATCTTCTAAATAACGATTCAGATGAAGATTTTGAAGATGGATTGATGCAAATTTTGGGTACATATATGTTACTGAAACGACTCAAGAATAAGAAACAAACTAGACGTTACTGGGTGCATGAAATAAATGAAAAGAGAAGTACGTGTGGTGAATTTCATGCTCTTTATCAAGATATACTTAATGACAGTGAAAGATTTCATATGTATTTTCGGGTTACTAAAACACAATTTGAGGAAATACATCTTTATTATTAAAAATGATGTACAAAAGAAAAGGACAACATTTCGCGAAGCAATCGGTCGGGTCTGCACTAGAAACACACTGCGAGCGGTGCGTCGGGTGGCGTGTTTACCCCCACCACCGGCGACACGTTGATCTGGCAGTCAGGGATCGGGTGGCGTGTGCGCGCATGTTGTTGCGTCGGGTGTTTATAATGTGATTCTAGGCATAGAGAATAGTACGAATTGATTCCACTCAACACGCATCACGTTTTGTCGGGTGGCGTGGCGTTTCAATAATGTGTTTCTACCTTCATACTTTGGTACGGATAAGAATATCAACGTAAACGCTTGCCGTGTGAGTAAGAACTCAAAACCTTAAAACCCCCAAAAGGCTGCAGCGTACTTGAAACTCCTTTGATGTTGCGTGCATCCAAGACAGGCGGCGCCGATTGCTCACCATCAAGTGATCGGCTTTCACGTTTGCCGACCTCTCCCATAAAAAAAAGATAAGCCTGTATAAGGAACTCCTCGTCATCATCATCAGCCTATAAGTGCCCACTGCTGAGCAAAGGCCTCTTCTCATACGGAGAATGTTTGTGCATTAATCACTACGCTTGCTCAATGTGGGTTGGAGATTACAAAATTATAATTAGAAATTATAAGTCCAGGTTTCCTCACGATGTTTACCCTCACCGTATGACAGTGGTATCTAAATAATTATAGAAAGTACATATAACTCGGAAAAAGTCCCATTGGTACTTGTCAGGTTTCGAACCCACACCCTCGTGCATGAGAAGCGGGCTCCTTAACCTCCGGGCCACCACAACATCGACATCGACACGACAAGGAACTCTTACCTAGCGGTAAAGCCACTGTAAGCGCGGGTAGCAAACATGGGTAGCTCACCGCCAAAATTGGACATGAGCGTAAAGTGTATTACATTTCTTGGGTGCTTTAAAAGCCATCAGATCACCATAGATGGGTTGCAAGCGCATTAAGGTACCGCGGTCCTCGCCGAGGTCGCCCTCAGTCTAGGAGACTAAACGTTGACTTTTGTAGTCAACAAGAGTCTGACACTCCCTTTTGCTCCACCCTAGGCAAGAGAAGATTATCCATGATTAAAAAAAAGACTCAAATGTCCCACCGGGTTTGCAGGTCCAAACGCAATCACCTATAGCATCGAATTCGTTATGTTAAAAATTTTATGTTAGTTTGGCCAAAAGTATGGTTTTCATTCAATATAGCATGTATTATATTTATATAAATAGGTAAATCACATTACTTATAATTTTATGCTTTCAATTTTGTTTACAGATGCAAAGACGGTGACCACGTTTTAGCTCTACACCAAGAAAAAATAATCAAGTTACCTATGTGTAAACATGAGCTATGCCCACTGAAACACTTGAAGCAGTATTTCCACGATAGCATATACAAGTGCGATTATTCAGACATGTGTAGTCTGCAACCGAATAGAACAAACAACAAGGAAGATTAAATACGAATTTTAATAAAAATCGGAAATCTACATAAAAATGAAAATATATTTTTAATTAATATTGTTTCTCGTAAGGAACTAAGGAAATATTCATCACAAATTGTTTTTCTGGTCTGTGGAAATGAAAAAAAAACATGCTAAAATATTTATGTTCAAAAATGGAATGTCACTTTTCTGAATGCTTTCGATGTAAAAGTGTTTGTTTAAAAATTCCACATAATCCTATTCAAAATAACACGAAAATCGTTGAAGCAGCTCGTTGCTTGTTGTTAATTGTTGAAGCAGCCAAAAAATATGTTTACTAATAAATAAAAAATATTACTTTTACATCACATATAAAAAATATAGGTAATTAATATTTACCTACATAAATAAACAAAACATTCCAAAAATGTATAGGTACCTATTTCAAATTTTAAAAATTAAGGCTTTTTAGTTCGATAATCTCAAAAAAAAAATAACACAAGGCCAAATGCTTACCACCGGTTTCCGAAAGGCCGATCAATGTTAAAATCAATTTAATATCTTGTCAAGTCATCTGATTGGTTGACTAAATTATCAACAACCAAGTCATCTGATTGGTTGACTGAATTATCAACAACCAATCAGATGCCTTGACAAGAGATTAAGAGGAGATTAGTTAATTTTAGCGTTGACAAGCCTTTCAGAGACCGGGTGTGAGAGTGTATTAATATAAAAAAGTAGCTACATAAGAGTGGATCTTAATCTCATTAACGATGGCTTTTAGTCACGCTGTGCTTCAACTAAGAACAGAATACGCAAAGGTCTTTAATGTTACTAATAGCGCACAATATTTAGCATAATATTTATATTTTTGTATCGTTTTTAAGTATAGTAATGCTTAGAACCTGTTTCACTATGTTCTAATAACCGCCAGCCACATAAGTAAACCGGTTACTTATATGAAAATGGTGACCCTTATCCGCGGAACTGTTTGACGAAGTTGCTCGATTGGTTTCCTGCCACTGCAGGGGCCCGTAATCATCACAATTAAACGTGTAACGTGGGTGTCCAGTTACGTAAGCTGCACAGCGTAATTTAATAAAAATTGTATCATCATTTATTAATTTTATTTCTATTATTATATTTTTCAAGTATCAGTGGTATATAAATATTCGTCAATATTGTAATGAAAAACCAGTATTAAAAAAAGAGCAATCAATATAATTAAACTGAAATTATGATTATAAAAATGTAACTATGTGATAATTGTTATTTAATAAAGATGTTCTGGCTTGAGGTGGATTTAAAATTGTTATTTAAACTATAAAAATTGAGTCAATTTCATAAGAAGACATTAGGACGAAGGAGTTGCCAAGAATTTTGTTAAACTAGTTTTTTTTCTTGTAATATTTTTGCATTTACACACATTTCCTAGAAGCCTCTCGCCCAGTCACACAGTAACTAGTTCGAAGAAAGAACAAGTCTCTTAAATCTTGTTTTGACTAGCCTATTCAATCTACAGTTGTTATTTTAATGAACTCAGACAAAGTATAAATCAAATATTGAAACTTAGTAAATGGAACGAAGGTAAAGAAATGTACAGCTTTATAAAATCGTTACACGCAAAATATAGCTTGAAGTTGTTTTATACAATAGTTTTAAAATGAGAATCATGTTTACATTGTTATATTGAGATGTATAAGCGAACATTGTTGGACTGATAATAAACGCTACGCTTCGAGTGCACAATGTATTTTGATTACCTATCCTGTCCCGTCGGTGTTATCTCGCCAAGTACCTAGGAGGCACTGAAACATCTTTGTAATGATTTATTGTTATGACATACTGTAGTTGTAAACTCGTTCTATTTAAATTTTATACATATTGAAAATGAAAAAGAGGAATTGCGATTTCTGGTCCTTGAAAAGTTTTTGTCTGTAGTCGGTAAAGTCGCATTTGGAGCAGAAATTGTATGTCTTATTTTTTAATTTGAAAACGGGCTCTAACGTTATTTTTTTTAAAATATGTGCTAGATCACCTAACTAACTGACGGATTGCCTGATGGTAAGCAATCAGCGCCGCCCACGGACACTTAACACCAAAAGAGTTACTACAAGTGCATTGCTGCCCTCTGGCGAAAGAATTTGGACCTTACTTACACGGTGAAACACAACGTAAGTTCACGCCGGTTTTCTGTGAGGCTGTGGTATCACTCCGGTCGAGCCGGCATATTCGTGCCGAAGCGTGACTCTCCCACACGTAGTAAACGCACTCACGACACCGAAAAAAATCCTTATTAATTTAAATAAAAAATATAGGTATGTATAAACAAATCTGTACGTACCTATTAGCTACTAAGTACGAAGTTAGTTATCTGCTGCCTACTTACATATGTACCTACCTACCACTACAAATGTACAACGATGTAGGTACTACTAACTTAAGGTATATTCTTCTTATACATACCTCGGTATGCACCTACCTACCTACAACACGAAGTGACAACGGCTCCCCAACTCGACCCAGAACTTCAATCAAACTTAAGTCAGTGTAGTTGAAAGCTTTGAAGGCCTCCCGTATTCCAGTTTAATACTTCGAATTTCTCTCGAATCTTGATCGACTAACACATCAATTGTGACGGCCAGGCTATAAATAGAATAGGTAGAATTGTTTAAAGACTTTAAGACTTATCTTTGGGGTCTGGTTGTACTTAGTAATAGCTTTTGGTTTTTTTTATTGATTAAGGCCATCGTATCTAAGTTAGTTCGTTGAATTTAACTAAAGTTGGTATTGTTTTGTTAATATTTGCTATCGTCTTTCAGTTTAGGTGGTTTACTAAAGGTTAACAATCTTGGTAGGATGTTTTTTTTTCATATTCAAGAGGTCGTACAAAATAAATTCAAAGATTATTTGAGTTTAGTCTATCACCTAGTTAACATCGATTTAGGTAAATAACTGATTGTAAACATAATTATATTTTCGTTTCATGATTCATGAGCAGCATTTCGCGACCGCGACTCGGCGACTGTCGCGCTGCTACGGTAGTAATAGGGGCCTCTAGCATGGCTTGAAACTAGTCGAGTATCTCGTCAAATTATTAAGTGAGTAAGCCGAAAACATAATTATTAATTTAGAATGTCTCACGAAAGTTATAGGTAATAAAAATGATTGTAAACATTTTTATACATATGTAGGTATATCTACAATTTATAGACAACTTTCAGAAAAATAGACGCAAAATTGCGTGTATTTGTTTACAATTACCTAAATCGATAAACCATAAGGGAACCATTTTTTCATTATGTGATTGGTCGGCAAACGAGCTACGGATTACCTACTGGATGGTAAGCAATCAACGCCGCCCATGCACACCCGCAACAACAGAAGAGTTACGCGTGCGTTGCCGACCTTTTGGGGATTAGGGATTTGGAGATTTAGGGATTGGTGGAGGGGAAGGATTGGACCTCCGGTTACCTTACTCACGCGACGAAACACAACTCTGTGGTTGTTTCACGCCGGTTTTCTCTATGGCCGTGGTATCACTCCGGTCGAGTTGACCCATTCGTGCCGAGGCATGGCTTTCCCACACTAAACAATTAAGTTAACAAATAATAAGTATACTTAGTGTCACATCTGAAAGATGGATAGCTAAATGATCAATAGTAGATTTCCTCTATCTTTGTACTTGTTCGGTTTTGTGTTCATGTGAATAATTAAGTACCTATGTTGGAGACAGATAATCTTAGTTTTTTAACCATTTAAGCAGCTTGAGAAAATACGCAATCAAATTAATATTTTAGTAAACTTTTTAACTACTGAACTGTATCATTTAATATGTATCATATCCACTCATTTGATGACGAAATTTTGTATTCAAGGTGCATAAAGGTTTTTGAACAAATAGAGCAAAAAGGATCATTTCAAGTATTCACTATACGTTCAAAATCGTAAGCAAGTAAATATTGGATTTTGTGTGGGAGTCAGCAAGTTACTTGTAAAACTTTAGCTCTAAGTCACCTTTGCCTACTGTAGATATTCTAAGCAGTACCTACATAAAGTGTTAAATTTTTCGAGCACCCATAGAGGAGAGTCATCTGAATTTATATTTTTTTTTGTAATATGTAGGGCGACAACCTGTACACTCCCAACGTCGGAGGCGTTACATGTGTGTGGACAACCTCAGAGGTTTACAGTTTTATGATTTAGGGATTGCGGGAAATGAGAGGTGGGGAAGGATTGGGTATCCGGTAACCCCACTCTGAAGGCGAAATGCAAGCTGGTTTTTTAACACCGATTTTACTGTGAGGTCGTGGTATTACTTCGGTCGAGCTGACCCATTCATACCGTAGCATAGCATTTACTATAAATGTGTAATTCTATAAAATGGATATGAAGGTATTATAAGTAGGTACGATTAGAACTTGAGTATCTACTAGGTACTGTACTTTTGTGCCATAATATTGTTGTATTATAGACAAATAAGTAGATATAGGTATACCTAGGGACCTTCTTACGTAGGTACCCACTATTAGAGTGGACAAGGAAAATGTTGAAAGGATAGTAAAGCTGCATTTTATACGCGACCCATGAGCGGGTCCCGTACAACGAACAGGCCTGTATGTTAACGACGGCAGCCATAAAACCCTCGTTACTGCAACTAGACAAGCAACATTGTTCACCCAACGAAACATTGAGTATAACCTCTCAAAATGTTTTACTACCCACTTCCCTGTAAATATATCGTTTTCATACAAATTATCATCATAAAACATTAAAACTTTTAACAACACGTTAATGTCGAAATTTCACTGAAAGCTTTGCGAGACTTCGCGGAAAACAGCTTTAAATTCACACGAGCTATTTTGGCGCGAAATATAGCATCCTTTCTACAAAACAATATGTTCTCTCCGGTATGAGCAACATAAAGAGTAAAAACGTTACCGCTTTTAGCGGTATACAGCTGACTTGTCGCTTAAGTTGGAGAAAAGCGAAATAAAATATAATAGCCGACTTAAATATATCTAATAATGCGCTTCATGCGTGAAATCCCTTTGTGTCTAGGGTTCTAA